ACTGAAGACAATAGCATGGTTAAAAATGGCAGGTAGATCCGCAGGACGAGAACAGCCAAGCCTACAGCAGGAAGTAGGTCAGTACCATCGACACACTGCAGCTGGGCAGATGCAGGGAGCTGATGACGGAGTGAGGCAGGTGCGAACACAGCAGTTTCCAAGAGATAACTTTCGAGCAGGGTCTCAGAAGAAGAGGCCCACCCCCAACGTCTATGCATGCTACACTCTTCACCCGCTTTTTCTTCTTTTTTTTTCTTTGAGTTGGACTCTCACTCCATTGCCCAGGCTGGAGTGCAGTGACGCACTCACAGCCACCCCAGCGTCGACCTGCTGGGCTCTGGCTATCCTTCTGCCTCAAACTTCCAAGTAGCTGGAACTACAGGCACGTGCCAACATGCCAGGCTAATTTTTTTTTTTTTAATTGTAGAGACAAGGTCTCACCAAGTTGCCCAGGCTGGTCTCAAACCCCTGAACTCAGGCAATTCCTCTCGCCTCCACGTCCCAAAGTGCTGAGATTACAGATGTGAGCCACTGCCCCTGACCTTCACCTGCTTCTTTAATAAGATCCACATGGCTGCCTAAGCCAAATATTTGGGAGATGGCCACAACACCCCCCTTCCTCTTCTACCCCTTCTATATCGGACCCAACACCAAGGCCTGCAGATCAGATGTACCAATGCATCCACCCCTTTCCCTAAAGTCTACCACTGATACTGTAGCCCAATGGTTGTCAAGCAGGATCAGTCTCCCTCCACCAGTCCCACCCCAGGAGACATCTGGCAATGTCTGCAGACATCTTTGGCTACCGTGACTAGGGAGGGCTACTGGGTACAGGCCCGAAATACAACTCAATAGCCTGCAACGCACATGACAAGGGCATTCTGGCTCCAAAGGTCACCAGGGCCAGGTGGAGAACCTGCTCTACCCTCAGCCCACTAGTCCAGGTGATATGACAGCTTTTCACCCCATGTCCTCGCTTGGCCCCTCGAATCCATTCTGCAGACAGCCAGCCAAAGGGTCCGAAATGACTCTTGAAAAGGCCAACACAGGCACACCCATCCCTCTCCAGTGGCCTCCGAGATCCAGGACACCCCACTTACGAGTAGCCCCGTCTCTCCAGTCTCTCAAGGTCCTCACTTTCTCTTTGCCCATAACCACTGAGCTGAGAATTTCTTGAAAGCAGCAAACACCTTCCTGTGTGCTGTCTCGACCTGAATCTTCCACACTTCACATGTTGGTTCCCTTACTCCTCTTTGAAACCTTCCTTGAGCCTCCAAGGTATTTCCAATCCCTGACCCTACCTTGTCACCCTGACTCTTACTTTTCTTAAAATGACTGATTACAATCCACAGCTGGAATTTTATGTCTGCAGTTTGCTTACATCTCTTATGACAACTGTGCAATTAACTATACGTATATGTATGGTTATGGCTACTAGGTTCACTACAGCCTCACTCTCTCCAATGTCACTACCACCAGAACACAGCTATGTGATTGGTGCTGTACCCCCATGCCTAGCATAGGGCCTGGCACCTAGCAGAATGCATATATGATCAGACGAGTTTTTTAAAAAAATGAATAACAGTGAGATGCTAGGCATAAACCTATCTATAAGACATACTCACTTTTAGAGACACACTGAATAAACCCTGACCAAGATGGAGGAAGGTGACAAGGGCTGGTTGGCACCTTGTATGTCGGCAGAAGGCAGGATTCAAGACAGAGGGCAGGGATGTGGGAGGGACACCAGATGCGAGACAGCTTTGAAGGTCAAGGTCAAAAGCAGAAGAAGGAAACAACTCCAAGCACTGAAGCCACGTGGTCAAAAGCGAGATTTTTCACCAATGAGCCTCAATCCGGGACACACAACAGAAGGGGTGAAAAGGAAGCATCTGGAATTCTGTAATCCCAAATAAAAGGCTCATCCTCTACCACAGGTAGAAATGTGGGCTAATCAATATAGGGGAAACCGGTCACAAAATTAAAACAAAAGACAAATGCTTCCCACTACTTATCAATGAAATCATTCACAGCAGGCTTAAAATGCTAAAAACAAAATCCTAGCATCCAACAATAGGAAGATTCATTTGATGAAAAATCACTTGATTAAGCAAATGAATGCACATCAATTCAGGTGCATGTTCTGAACTGGCACACAGCCATTACAATTATAATCATGACTACACACTAATATGGAAAAGTGCTATGACATAATGATTTAAAAAAAAAAAAAAAAAACAGCAAGCCAAAAATTATCTAGGATGTTAACTAAAAACTTTTCATGCACATGTACAAGAGCTGGTAGAAAAACCTATACAAATGGCTGTTTTGCTGAAGTACAGTGGTGGAAGGGAAATGTTTGTCATTTCAGCTACTGTTGCATTTCTGCAACATTATATTACAGCTACATTTCTACTACTGTCGCAATGTACTGTGTGCAGTATAACTGAGGTGGAGAGATCAGCAAGGAAACAAGTGCACCCAATTCAGAAGGCTCCAGATAAAGTCTTACCCATGTGGGCGGTACCATTCTCCCTAGCAAGACCCCTAGGAAGCAACCAAGAACCAAGAAGACTGTGGAATGTGGCATCTGATGAGGTCCAATCTCTCACTCAGGTTGTGAAACCCTCCATAGGGCCACAGACCAGCAAAAAGTGTGATGAGATTGGAAGTATTTGGACCACAAGTTCACTAAGAGCAATCCATAACATATTTTTCTTCTCCTTCCTCTTTTTTTATGCTGCTGTTTCTTTCTTGACATAAGTCATGACTTTACTTGTAAGCATCTCATCATCTGTATACAGGACAACCCAACAAATCAGAACAGTCCAGATATGGGGCAGCTGAGGCTAGACAGCCCAGCTCTAAGGGTGAAGCCCGGCCCTGAAGGCTGCACGAGCTCAGAACCCATGCCTCCCGTCGCCATCCTGCCTGCTGCTGCTCACAAGGCAGATGGAACGTTCTCTGTACTGTGAATAGCTTAGGCCTGGCCACTGACAACTCAAAGAACCAGCAGCATCAGCATCACATGAGAGCTGGTTAAAAACAAAACGTCCTGAGTCTTTCCATATCACTGGCAACCACACAGTCGACGTCCACGATGACTTCTACTGTGGGTTGAACAGTGTCTCTGAAAAGGCTACATTCAAGTCTTAGCCCCCAGGGCTTGTAAATGTGACCTTATTTGGAGAGTCGTTTCTCATATATAATCAAGCTAGCATGAGGTCACACTAGAGTAAAGAGGGCCTTGAGTTCAACATGACTGGTGTCTTTATAAGAAGAGAAGAGACAAAAAGACAGACATACAGAGAGAACACCCTGTGAAAAGGAGACAGAGACTGGAGAGATGGAACAGATTCTCTCTTAGAACACTCAGAAGGAACCAGTCCTGCTGTCACCTTAATTCCAGACCCATGAGCGAATAAATCTCTACTGTTTTAGGCTACCAAGTTGGTGGTCTTTTGAAACAGCAGTGCTCAGATACTAATATAACTTCCAAGCTTGGCTTGGTCCCCTCACGCCTTTGACACTGGGGCCTCCCCCGCTTCTCTGTGTCAGCAGAGCTCTCTGGAATTCTCATCCAAGTGTAGCCATTCCTATCATGGCTGGCTTCCCGGGAGCTGCCAGCCCTCAGCTGCCCATGTCTGTCCCCACACAGGTAATGTGACCTGGAACAGGTCCCCATCAAACCATCGCATCTTTGTCTACAGGAATAGTAAGAGACTTAATGAGTAAAATGCTGGCTCATGTCTATGGCATTCTTAGAACAATTAGCACAATCAATACCCCCCGCCTCAAAATAAAGAAGGTGAAAATATTTTATTACTTGTTCTTGGTAAGCCTTTCTAGCCCAAAATGTTCCTTAACTTCTTTAAACTGTTTGCTCAGCTATGATGGTTCCAACATGTCATTGGCTGGTTAGTGCCAAGCCCAGATTCGTCTGGGCTGATGGAGTGTAACTCATCAGAGTTCTCTTCTCCTTACCTAACCCTGCCAACAATCCTAGACCAAGACCCACATGGGTCACATAAGCAAGATGACTCCCTAATCATACACCACCATTGCAGTTGAGTAGCTCAATTCCACAGGGTATAGCATGAAGCAGAATGATGGTTCAGCACTCTACTGGGAAACCAAATCCAGACAGTTGCGTTTAACACAAATGGCCCTGATGAAAGATATGCAGATTCATCATCCAGGAGGCCAGTCCTAACAGCCTTGATCATGACTTTCATAGGACTTTAGAGCATTTGGAAATCTGGATGCCTCAAAGCGAACCAGATGGAACATGGCCTTTGCCATAAATAGAGAGAGTGAGCCAAGCACCACTCATGGAGATGAAAACTAGAAACCAGCAAAGTGCCCTCAAATAGAAAATTGATTAAATAAGTTACAACAGAACCATGAGGTAATGCATAACCTTGAAAAATACGTTTCTAAACAATATTGAAAAACATAAGCAAACATATGTAGAAAACATGAACATTGTAAAAGAGTATATTTATATATACACATAGGAATGTATTTTATGTACATATGTGTATACACACACATGCTCATGAAATACACATAGTGCCTGTCAACCAACAATTTTTTTTAGGTAAAACACATTAGTCTAGAATTGACTAAAAGAGACTAGATTAGAAAATGCCAGAATGCATCATATGGAATAAATGCACGTACACACACACACACACACACACACACACACACACACACACACACACACACACACGATGATGCCAAATGAAGAGAAAGAGCTTACAAAGACAAAAGTGCTAACAGTGTAATCTCTGGAAGGTGAAGTGATAAATGATGGTTATTTTTCTTAATTAACTTTTTGACATTTTCTAACCAGATCACACATTACTTTTAAAACTGAGGGCAAGGACACGAGAAATGCCTGCTTTGTGTAATCCAACTAACAAGACTTCACATCTTTACGAAAACCTTGAACACAGCACTCAAGAGAACGGGGCTAAGTTAAGAGCTGCCAGTACTGTGAGGTGTCAGGTGAAAGCCGATTTCCTCATCAGCGAGCAAATCATATTGTGTCGGGTCCTTATTGGTCACCCTCGCTAAAACATTCAGGCCCTTTTTTCTGAGGACAATCAAATTCAAAATGTACACATTCATGAGTAGCAGTATGAATCCCAGACACCGGCTTGGAACTGGGTAGACAAGAGCAACAAAAACTTCTCATAAGGACAAATGTAGGCTAAAGTAATAAGGCAAGAAGTACAGTGCGTTTTAAGTCAGGAAATTATTTTAAGGAAATTAAGAACGTGCCTCTGGGAGGGCAAAACTCGCCCATCAGCTGTATTTACTGAGATTACAGGCTAGCTGATTTCCAAAACAGCTCCTTTCTAAGAAGGCCAGATGGAAACGGGACTGTAAGATGGTTAAAAAGGGAAGAGACAGGGAAGCCTGCTCCCCGGGGGCGGCCCTCCCCAGAAGAAACACAAACCCTCAAACATCTGTGTGCCAACCTCAGCTTGGGGGGGCCTCCGATTCAACTTATCTTCACCCCAGTCTAATCCACAGGCTGGTAGGGAGAGCTGCCTGAGCGCCAGGGGCCTGGGGGCCTACACAACAGTGGAAGAAAAGCAGAAAACTAACCATCATATTCTCATCACAAACCGAACAAGAGACACAGGGTCGAGCCCCAAAGACCAGCAAAGACCAGTGTCCTTCAGATGCTGGTTGAGATCCATTAGCTGCTCAGGAAATGCATGTCGCGCCTGTCAGCCAACAATTTTTTTTTAAGTAAAATGCATTAGTGTAGAATAGACGAAAGGAAATGAGGATAAAAAGTGCCAGCCGGGCTCGGTGGCTCAGCCTGTAATCCCAGCACTTTGGGAGGCCGAGGTGAGCGGATTGCCTGAGCCCGCGGGTTCGAGACCCACCTGGGCAACTTGGCGAGACCTCATCTCTACAACAAATCAAAAATTAGCTGGGTGTAGTAGCGCGTGCCTGTAGTTCCAGCTCCTTGGAAAGTTGAGGCAGAAGGATCGCCAGAGCCCAGCAGGTCGAGGCTGTGGTGGCCAGGAGCGGCCACTGCACTCTAGTCTGGGTGACAGAATGAGACTCCAACTCAAAAAAAAAAAGAAAAGAAAATGCCAGAATGCAACACATGGAATAAGTGTAAAACTTTCTCATAAACCGTTTTTTCAGCTGCATATACACAGCACATGTGTGTGCACACATACACAACAAGCACACGCACTCACAAACACTCATACTGAGTAAGACTCCATTTCTTGCTATAGATCATGGTCAAAGTTTCCTTCTACAAAAAATTCCAGGATTCTCAGCCACAGAAAGAACAACAAAGTGTGCCTAGGTCATACGTGCAGAGGCTTTTCCAGGGTCATTCCAGAGGGAAGGCAGGGATGTTTGTGGAAGTGAAGGAAAATACCAGTGCCTGTGAGAACAGACTGCAAAGTTTCAGACACCCCCATCCCAGCTTTGCCATCCATGGGAGGTCAAGAAACAGAACCACCTGCTGCCAACCCAGAAGCCTTGGGTATCAGCTCCCTCCAACTCACTTTACCCCCTCCCCTTCAAGTCTCTCCCAAATTTTGTGGTAAATCGTCAAAGTTTTTTTTTGTTTGTTTTTTTGTTTTTGAGTTGGAGTCTCACTCTGTTGCCCAGACCGGAGTGCAATGGCTGCTCCCGGCCACCGCAGCCTCGACCTGCTGGGCTCCGGCGATCCTTCCGCCTCAGCCTTCCGAGTAGCCGGAATTACAAGCACACACTACCACGCCCTGCTGATTTTTTGATTTATTGTAGAGATGAGGTCTTGCTGCCCAGGCGGGTCTCGAACCCGCGGGCTCAGGCAATCCACTCACCTCAGCCTCCCAAAGGCGCAGGATTCAAAGTTGTTTTTTTTTTTTAACTGTTTCAAGCCTGTACACAGACTACCTCCACTCAGATAGAAAACTCCATAAGGAAGCCCAAAGCATCCAGTACAGACCCATAATCCACTGATGCAGATATGGGTATGGGCTCTGTTTCCAAACACCACGGAACAGCTGGCGCTTAGCAATGGTATCCCTGCAGGACCGGAAGGGGAAAAAGAGTGGCCCTGGAACTAGGCAACCAGGGCTTAAACCAGGGCCCTACCCTGTCCTAGCTGTGTGGCTTTGGGCAGGTTAATTAACGTCTCTAAGCCTCAGTGCCTTCATCTCAAAGCAATGATAATATCTATTTAACAGGGTCATTGTAAGGAGCAAATAAGTTGATCAACAAGAAGCACTTAGAGCAGTAGGCAATCAACAAATACCAGCTATGGTTACTCACACTTTGAGCACGTGCATGCTTAATTCCTATCAACGACTGATCTGAGAAGTTAACCCTCAGAGACTTCAGAGCATCCAGGTGTCTGGTGTTTCCTGGGGCAGGCATTCTATGTGACTCTCTAAAAGGAAAATGGCTGGGGGAGCTGGTTGAGTTGACCGTGAAGAAGCCTGCATGGCAGACTTGGGATCTGAGTCTCCTGGCAGCTGAAGAATGGCAGTTTGCTGAGAAAAATCAAGCCATCACCAGACACGAGCCTTAGGAAAACACCGAAATGGATGCCAGGAAACCAGAAAGGGCAGGTACAGCAAGAAGGTGTGAGAACAGTTAAATTTCCGGCTATAATTTCAGCATAAGGAAAGAAACGCCTCAACAAGCACAGCGGTTCATGGCATAACTGCCCAGGAGAGCAAAAGGAAGACCAGGAATCAGAAGGAAATATCCCAAGGCTGGCTTGGGGATGCCACAGCGGAGGTGCCACTGGGTCACATGAGGGCAGGGGCAGGCAAAACACCTGGAAAAGAGCAGAAAACAGAACCCGAGGGCAGCAGCAACCGGTGAGAGGACCCTCCTGTAAGGTAGGACAAAGAGAGAGAAGCAGATGGCCAAGAAGGAGACGCAAAGCATTTGTTGAACTTTCAGAATGCCTGGGCCTAACTGCAGACAAAGGAGAAAGGACAATCGGAGGTGAAGACAATAGATCCAAGATCCAGCGGGATCCCAGAGGGGGCAGGAGACCTCAGCACAGGTAGAAGGTTAAGTGCTGGGTAGTAGGATGGACTTGCCTTCTTCAGAAAGAGTTCCAAGATAATCTTTTCAGATTACAGCAGCATCACCAAAGGTGGCTGGGTACGGTAGGGAATAAGCCTGGAGGAACTTGAGACGCTGCCAGAAATGGCTGCTGATGTAAAGCCAATCAGGAATTAAAAAGAGAACTTGAGTCCAAGTTCTCAGAGTCCAAGTTCACAGAGCTCTGTGAAAAACAGTATGGTGACTCCTCAAAAAATTAAATGGAGAATTACCACAGGACACTGCAATTCTGCTTCTGGGCATTTATCAGAGAGCTGAAGGCAGGGTCTCAAAGAGACACCTGCACACTACGTTTATAGCAGCACCATTCACAACAGCCAAGAGGTGGAAACAATCCAATTGTCCATTGATAAATGAACGGATAAGCAAAATGTAGATATACACACAGACTATCAACCTTAAAAAAGAAGGAAATTCTGACACATGCTACAACTTGGTTGAAGCTTGAAGACATCACAGTAAGCAAAAGAAGCCAGACACAAAAGGACTGAGATACTGTATGAATTCATTTATGTGAGGTTCCGAATTAAATCTGTCGACACGGCAAGTGGAATGGCGGCTGCTCAGGACTTGTGGGTGGGGCAAGGGAGGCCAGGTAGTGATTAATAGAGATGAAGTTTCCACTTGGGAAGATGAAAACCATTCTGGAGATGGATGGTGGTTCCGGTTACCAACAATGCTTTGAAGTCACTGAATGATACACTTAAAAATGACTAAAATGATCAATTTAATGTTATGTTATCATATTTTTAAAAATTGTTAAGGGATCTGGCTGCAGCCCTGGGGCTAGGGAACACCACCTGAGGGATTGTAAAGTGGCACAACAGTGGGTTTGTCTCCAGAAACACCTGGACATGGGGGAACAGGAACCTGGGAAGCGGAGGTGATCTCAGGTGGCCACCTAGCAGAAGAAAGTGTGGGGAGCTGGTGTTCACACACTCAGTGGAATTTCCTCGTCCATTTAAAACGAAATCTTGCCTCAATTCCTCCATGTGTGTGTTTTCTCACTTAAATGACCTGATCAAAATTTAGTCACTACCTCAATGGAAAACGACACTGTTGAAAACTCTCTTTTGAGGCTGTGTTTCTCCCGCAATAAATACCGTCTGAAAATCTTGCTCTCCCTTCATGAAAGCATAAAACCCCGTGGCGGAAAAAGTCCTCCAAGTGGATGTAAGTGGTAGTTTCAGTTCTGAGAGGTGATGACAGGGTTCGGGGCTCTCGCAGACAGAGAACAGCTGCCAGGTCACCCAGAATAACGCCATGAAGGCATAAGGGCTCACAGATGAGGAAAGTCAAAACAGCCCACAAGAGCCACCCTTTGGGAAACACCACATAACCTTTAAGAAATGCCACAGTCTGAAAAACACTTTCTCTGCATAAGACAATTCACAATGGCATTTCCTGCTCAACACAGCAAAACTAAAAGCGAAAACAACACAAAAACTAAGGCTGCGTCGTATGAGACCTTAAATCTCCAATTCTGAAAGTATGTTCATTATTAAATAATATGATACCAAATTAGCAGCAAGAGAGGCAACATTTCCAATAAAATGCCACACACCCACCTTGCAGATAAAAGGTTTGCATCAATGCATGAACATCACTAGATTTAATCATGTCTTATAATAAAACATCCCCCCAAAGAAAGGTCTTCCCTTTCTCTAGTCACTAAATATTTGACTTCAAGGGAGGTAAGCAGACACAAGTCAAGCCCAATCAAATTTAGTATGTAGGAATATATTTAGCCATCTAAAATTACTTCTGGGCTCAAAACTTCCTATAATTTTTGTCTATTCCTATACTCCACCAGTCTGTTTTTCTAAAATGCCACTGAATTCAGTAGTAAATGTACCGAACACACTGCTAATTTTAACCTTGAGGCAGCTTTAGGCGATATCAAATTCCCAAAAGAATTCACCTAAAGCTTTCACGTATGGACCTTATGCATTTCTTTGTCTATCATTCTCCAGTTTTTACAATAAATTCATGTAAAGATCAAGAAACTGTAATGAAGAGGCCCAGGGCTCTACACGAATGCTCACCCCCTCAGAGGTGAACAGTAAAAGCTCTGACTTGATTCATGTCGGTCATAGCAGCCAGGAGACCTGTCTCAGTGCACATCCATCTTTGTCCCAGAGTGTATGGCAAAGCCTTAAGGCTGAGACATGACTTGCCTAGAACAATTCTAAAACAATCGCCCTCAGAATGCTTTCTGAAATGATACACTCAAAGAAGATTAAAAAGGGGCAGCAAGGACAAAGACATTTTCCACGAGTCGTGAGGAGTCGAGTGAAAGCCGTAAGTCAATCCCTTGGAAGATTCTTGTTCTCTGAGGGAATTAAGACAGCAAAATGCAAACCACACCGCTCTTTCTGCAGAAAGACAGCCTCACACTCACTGCCATAAGGGGATGCCAAGAATTGCGGGGTCCTGGGGCTACTCCACGGCCCCTCTCTGCATTCTGTGTTCCAGGTACCTCCACACCAGGGAGTGTCCTGAAGAACCCTCAGGCCTCACGTGAGCGGAAGACATCTTTCTTCCAAAGGACAACAGCCTGAAGCCAGGTCACCAAAAGTGAGGAGAAGACTAGAAAGACCAGAGCGCTGCATGGCTCACTCTTCTGCCCGGTGCAAAGATCCGCTAAAGGCAGACGATGTAGCACCATTGCCAGGACGTAGCAGCCCTGGCGGATCTGGTGCAAAACATCTTTTTCATTCATCCCTCCTTGTTTAAATCAAGTAAATTCAGAACCTCTCCTTGCCAAAGAGCAAAGAGAGAAGCAATGAAAATACGTAAGAGCACTCGGAGAAGGGAGGAAGGGAAAAAGAATTTCACTGCACGTGGAACAGATGACGTTCACTACAAAAGAGACCCCGGGGCTTTTGCTCAAATTCAGGCTTTGCAGGGTGTATAGTCCCTTCTCCTAGCTGGCAGAGGAAGCCCTTCATCTCAAAGTCAGCCTTGATACAAAGTTTCAGCTAGATGGGAAAAATAAATTCCAGTATTCTATAGCACTGTAGAATGAATATGGTAAACAACAATTTAGTGTATGTGTTGCAAAGCCAGATGAGAGGGCTTTGAATGTTCATGACACAAAGCAATGATAAATGTTCAAGGTGATGAATATGCTAATTAACCTAATCTAATCATTACACGCCATATACCTGTATCAAAATATTGGTCTGTATCCCATAAATATGTGCAATTATTACATGCCAACTAAAATCAAAAGAAAAAAAGAACACAGCTCTGGAAATGAAATGAGACCTCTGACATCAACAACTAGTATCTCAGACAAGTGAATTCACTGCAATAAAAATACCTACCTCAAAAAAGAATAATAAAATAAAATAAATAAATGAAAGTCCATCTTAAAAGTGGCTGGCAACACCTCATCGACAAGGGTACCTGCATACTCAACGTTCGTATACCTAACCCTGAATTATACAGATTTAAAAGGAAAATAAAACAAGCAGCTGGCACCTACCTTCACCCTGACCGTCTGGTCTGACATGCTGCACATCATGTCATTGATGGATCTGAACAGCTGCAGCAAAGACTCCACAAAGTCAGCCTCTCCTTTGTTTTCATATAGTCTGCAAAGAAACACGAAACTGTAAGCACCTGGCAGAGAACATTTCAACACGGCTGTAGCCATGAAGGAAGTTGCTTGGGTGACAAGTCAGAATGTGAGGCCATTTCCTCAACACCCATGAAACATGGAAGGCAACTTGGCAAACAGATTAATCCGGACCACTCAACTACGGAGATCCATCGCCACATTAAAGCCGATTCTTAATGATACTACGTATTGCCTTTTTGCACTGCAACATACTACACTTTATAAGCCTGGAAAACACCACAAATATACAGAAAGGGAGGGACAGAGAGAGGAAGAGACGGAAGGTAGGAGGATGAAGACATTCAGCCTTAATTCCATCCCAAAGAAATTGCACTATTAATATTTTGGTGTGTTTCCCACCAGTGTTTTTAAACCCATAATGCCACATATTGAAAATCACAAATGCACTTAACTGCCTAAATTTACTATGATCTTATAGCTATTTTTAAGTGATATGATACTAGTAAATTTAAATTACTGTCTTTCAGAGCAATGACACTACACAAATTCACTCATCTTAGAATCAGTGGCAACAAAAAAATTTTCAAGAGGTGGGATATACTCAGTAAGTGAATAATGAGGGAGATGTACATTGGTTACATGTATGCTACTATATGTTACTAACTATAAATAAGTTTCATCTATAAATTATTTCTTAGCAGTTACTTCAAGTTGCTGCAATACTAAAAAGCAATGCATTAGCATTTTTAAATATTGTGACTTGGATGTTTTATTAATACAGGCTAGTTTTCTGCCTAATTAGAAGTATACCATACCTGAAAACTTGTGTACATTGAAAAATTTTGTAAACTAAGTGATAATTAATTACCCCAGAGGTAATCTTACATTTAAATGAGTCTCACTGTAAAACAAGTTCTGTGTAAAATGAGAAACTTCAACCTAGTTTATCTTTTTTTGTAAATAATGGTTTTCAAATAAGGGTTTGCTTAAATGGTGTACCAAACAATTAAAATTATGAATTCATGAACTTCTGCTTTCAGGTGGCATGGAGAACATCTGGCAGACTGGTGCAACACTTGGGAAGGCTTCAAGGATGCAGCCATTTTTCCCTTCAGGGTATCTGCCAATTCCTAGAGCTACACGGGGTAAAAGATAAAAACTCAAATGAAAATCTCCATCAAGCAGAGTGGAATTTTTACCAATCATCAGAGAAAATGACTATTGTTTGGAAAACACCAGGGAGAGAAGCCCCAGGTAACACAGCAGACCCTTAGGGAGCCAGGGCACATTAAATGTAGACTGAAGCTTACCAAGGCTACAGTGCAGCCTTGATTGAGCATAGTCTCTGATTAGAGTAAGGTGGTCAGTAGCACCTTTCTCTGTCTAGAAGAAGGCAGGATGAATTATCACTTCATTTGAAGCTTCTACAGTATTACATACAAACAGTCCCACTTCAAATACAAATTACAAAACTCAGCAAAACAAAAAACAAAAAAACAGATCACATGGTCAAGTCAAAGAGAAAAAAAAAAAAAAACAGACCCATAGATGATTGCAATAGTACGGTTTCCTAACTAGAACATCAAAACAACTATAATTGTTATATTTTAAGATAGAGAAAATAAAATAGATCAAAAATCGAAGGCAAATTTTTTTTTGAGTTGGAGTCTCACTCTGTCACCCAGACTGGAATACAGTGGCATGCTCAAGGCCACCTCAGTGCCAATCTGCTGGACTCTGGTGATCCTTTCACCTCTGCTTTCCAAGTGGCCAGAACTACACGCATGTGCTACCACACCAGGCTAATTTTTTTACTTATTGTAGAGACGAGGTCTCACAATGTTGCCAAGGGTGGTCTCAAACCCATGGGCTCAGGCAATCCTCTCACCTCGGCCTCCCAAAGTGCTGGGATTACAGCTTGAGTCACCATGCCAAGCCAAGAAAAATTTTAACAGAGAAATGAATCTATAAAAAATAATCAAATGGAAATTCTAAAACTATAAAAAATACTATCTAAAATTAAGAATTCATTATATGAGTTAACTAAGAGTAGACAGAGCAAGAGACAGAATTAGTGAAATGGAAGACAATCCACAGGAAAATAACTAAGCAGAAGTATACAGGAATAAAATGCAGAAGAGAGCTATCAGGATATGTGGGCACAATGAAGAGATCTAATATACATGTAATTGAAGTGCCAGGAGAAAAATAGGAAGATAATGTGACAAATGTAACATTAGAATAGATAATAGCCACAATTTTCCAAAATTTTCTAAAGATATCATTCTAAAAATTCAAAAATCCAATACAGAATAAATAAAAAGCAAAACATTACCATGCAACCCATGGTAAGACTGTCAATAACCACAGACAAACTATAAAATAGAGAAGAAAAAGACACCAATAACTTCAAAAGTATTAAAAATAATAATAATAAGTCTGAGAGCTGATTTTTCACCAGAAATGATGGAAACCAAAAGATAACAGAAAACATCCTTCTGGAGGAAGAAAGCCAACCTAGAATGCTATAGTAAATGAAAATATATTCCAAACACAAAAAATGAAATAAATCATTTTCATGCAAAGCCATGTAGCCGGCCTAGACTAAAAGTAATTCTACGAGAAATTCTTTGGACAGAGGAGGAATACTCCCAAAGGGAAATGTGAAATTGAAGAACAAAACACAATTATAAAACACGTCAAAAGAATACTGATGGTATAAACTATATAGCTATGTCTTATGAGATTTAAAATATATGTAGAATTGAAATGTAGGATACATGAAGTAATAATACAACAGAGAAGAAGGAGAAAATGAGAATTATAAATGTGTCATCTTCCTAGCCATATCTAGCATTATCAGGGCATTACAGTAATAATTTCAATTATTCTACATTAAGTCCAACATGCATGTTACCATCTCTAGGATAATTGCTAAAATTATAGTAAAATAATATTTAGCATGCAAAGAAAGTAGAAAATAATGAGATGATAAAAAAACAAAGTTTAACTGGTACAAAAGAATACAAAAAAGGAGGAAAAGGGGAACAGAATAGAGATGGATAAAAGAGAAAATTAATTCATGGCCAGGCATGGTGGCTCACGCCTATAATTCCAGCATTTGGGAGACCAAGGCAAGAGGATTGCCTGAGTCCAGGTGTTCGAGACCAGCCTGGGCAACTTGGTCAGACTTCATCTCTACAATGAATCAAAAAATTAGTCAGGCATGGTGGCACGTGCCTGTAGTTCCAGCTACCTGGAAGACTGAAGTAGAAGGATCGCCTGAGCCCAGCAGATCGAGGCTGCAGTGGCTGTGAGCATGCCACTGCACTCCAGGCTGGGCTTCAGAGTGAGACACCAACTCAAAAAAAAAAAAAAGGAAAGAAAAAAAATTAATTAAAAAATAACAGATATAAACCCAATATATTCTTTAATTATATTATACATGAATGAAATTCTCAATTTAAAAAATTGTCAGACTAGATTAAATAAAAATACAGATATGTTGCTAATGAGAGATATGCCTTAAATTAGACAAAGAAAGGTTGAAAATACAAGAATGCAAAAAGGTATTCCATGCAAACGTTAATGTAAAAGATTAAGAGAAATTTTGCATATTGATGAAGGGGTGAATCCACAAGAAAGATATCACAATTATATATCTGTATGCCCCAAATAATACAGCTTCAACATCTATAAAGCATAATTAATGAATTTTTAATATTTTTGAAATTCTACCAAGATCCTCTAAAGGATGAAAAATTAATCATCAGCTTCTCTGCTGCCAACCAACATGTTTAGAACGTATAAGTGTCTGTTAACATTTTAGCAGTGATCCCTTTGAAGTATTTTTCTGTAACTAAAGATTACTAGGGAAGTCTCCAGAATTTCAACACATCATTCTCTTAAAGAAACCAGAAAGAGTCACCTGTATGACCCGCCTCGAAGCAGAGGAAAGGCTGAGAAAAAAGAACTCAGACATATTGATAAATAGATGGATAAAATGCACTCATTCTTCACTCTACTTAAATAAGTATTCATTAACAACGAATGACAGGATCTTTGTCTATTAACTACCTTCTGTTTTGTGACCCAGGGAATGACAGCTAAAAAATCTGCACAACTTATTCATGATCAATAACTAATTATTTACAAAGCCAACACCAGGTGACAGGCAAAAACTCTACAAAGCACAGGAAAGCCAAAAGAAGAGCCAAGCGATAACTAGATTTAGTAATTTGATTCGGAAGGTCTAATGCAGGATATCTGTTTTCTGGCTTTCTAGTTAATGTGATCCGCCCACACAGAAAACACAGACAAACAAAAACCAGTGGAGAAGCGCCCCTGGCAGTCAGGAATTTTTCATTGGTTTCCCCAGGAACCAAATATCTTTGGGCCAGAGCTTTTAAACTGCCGTTCTCATTTCAAAACAAAATGAGGTTTGTAAACAAAACAAAAAGTATGGAACTGCATACCAAGAAAGACAGTAAGTTAACTGTGATAAGATTCAGTATCTTCATCTCCAAAGTTTCACTTCTTTGTTCTTTGGAAGAATAATGACTGTCAATTATCTTGGAATTTAGCAAAACTACAGAATTATAAGAAAACACAGTAGACCATTTAGAAAGAAGAAAAATAAAAGATCTCAAAAGTTTATTCGAACCGCAAAAAGGAAAACACACTCTCATCAATTCCAGCTGTGAGCACAATTGTTTTTCTCCCAAGGTAATAAATGTGCTGCAGGTAAGACAATGAGAGGCTTACTTTGTTTTCTTCCCCACTTCTGAAAGCACCACACAGGAGACCTGCTTAGAGCTTGCTGGGGATCAAACATTCAGACATCTGCATGAGATGTAGGACTTCTTTTCCTTTGAGTAGCCCATACAAAATAGAAATATAATTCCATCTAAAATCAAGGCCTTTGATATCACAGAAGAAGAAGTAACAACTGACTTGCAACAAGCAGTTAGGCTGAGGAGGATAGAAGGGGTGAGGTTATTCCAGGATTTTAGCCCTATTGTCCATGCTTCTAAGGGCGTGAGATTTTTTTTTAACCATAGAATTTGTAAGACACCAGAATATCTTTTCAATGATTTTAGAATACAGATTTAAATTAGAGAGTTTATGATATCCACACAATGCAGCTACATTTTGAGAAATGTTATGTCCTTCTCTTCCTTCAAGACTCATAGCAACAACGAAGATCCACATTTAGAAAACCTATGAAGAAAAAAATATAAAGTCTGGGATACAGGTAGGGTTCAAAACTTCATTAAGTATTTATGGAAGAAGAACGAGATAAAGGAGAAAGAAAAGGGAAAGAGAAGGAGGGCGGGAGGGAGAAAGGGAATGGAATGTGATCTTCAACATTTTCAGGATCACAGTGAAATAGGGACCTAGCGCTTAATTCACAGACACCGACACCAAAAGACAAGTTATAAAAGGAGAGGTTTATTAGCCAAGAGTCAGGCCAGCGGCCAGTTGCCTGCTGGACATGCCAGTCCCACAGCAAGGGCCCCCATTTGCTCTAGGGGCTTGCTTAAATGAGGCAAAACCACATTGGGACTTTCCAAGTGGGCCAAACCGTAACATCCTGGAGGCCTAGGTACTTCTCAAACAATGCTAGTGGGGTTCACAGAAGTGGAAAAAAAAAGTTGTTCAACAGTTTAACCTAGCCAGCAGGTACTGTTGCCAGTTTCCAGGAAGGGAAATTTTTAACTATGTAAAGGCTGAGTACACGCTTAACTGTGCAAAGGCTGAGTTCATGCTTAGTCTAATTTTTGACACTGTAGATGTCTTTTTAAGCCCCCTTCCACAACAGCGGTACTTGATTAACTCATGCCTGGAATGCCCAGGCAATAGTCTTGGAGGTTGTGACTCAGATTCTGATCACTTAGTGTCATCAACAGTCTCAGCACTCCTGACAAGCAAGTTATCCCAGCAAATAAACTCAATGCTAGATCAGACCTGGCTCCTTCAGGATCCACACCAGGACAAAGGTAGGTGGAGGGCCCACGGTCTGTGCCACACTGCCAAGCAACAGAAAGAACACTTCCTGTCTCATACACAAGGGTCAGCTGAGTACTAGGGAGGACCCCCCCAAATCGGAATTTATTTATTAAAAAATTGTGTATTATTCTTACACGTTTAAACTTCAGTCACCTGCAAGGTACTCTTCGTTTAAGGCAATACACCAATGGAGATGCTTTTTCCCCTGCTCAAAACAGTTTTGAACTCACCTTTTAGTGCTTCTGCTATTTTTTGTTTCACCTCCTCTACATCAGCAAAACGTTTCCCTCTGAGGACTTTTTTTTTGTTTCCAGGGAAACAAAATAAACTCACTCAGAGTGAGATCAGATGAATAGAAAGAGTGAATAGAAAGTTGCTGAATACTCAGCACAGTGTGGGCAGGTATACTTGTAAATCACTCATCATGAAATGGGCAAACGCATTAAAAATTCACTGAATCCAAACGCAGCCTCTCACGACAGCACTAGCTGGTACGCTGATGCCGATAGCTTCCTAGAACACTTGCCTAGTGGGAGAACACTGTCTACCAGGGGCCTGCCCTCCAAAAAATAATTTCTTCCCTAGAATTTCCACTTGATTTCAGTGTAACCCAGCAGGACTGAATATTGTCTATGGGTCACTTAGCGCTCCAATGACTGAAAGCCAAAGAGACAGTGGTGACAGGAGTTTCAGAGACTGACCCCCAAATTAATGTGGAGAAAGGCTCTGCAGAATCTAGTTAAGTAGGATTTAGTATCCCAGAATGAGCTAGAGAAGTTCTGAGCTCTCAGGCAATTAGGGAATTTCTAAGCTCTCAGGCAATAGACATTCTGGATTAAAATTGTGAGGAAGAGAATGCTAATTGCCCACCCGTTATATATTTTTCCCAACTCTTTTACTAAAAGAACTGTGATTCTGCTGAAAGCATCAATAAGCCCATCTAAAAATCCTTTCTAGCCTCCCTTGCAGCTAGGGTAGTCATGTGACACAGTTCTGGCCCATGTGACAGAAGTATATTACACTTTGTAAGAATAGGGAAATGCTCTTTCAAAGAAGAGTGGCTGGCACAGTTGCCCCTCTGTCTTCCCCTTTCCTCTGTCCAGAATGCAGATGTGATCCCAGGAAGAGCAGGAGCCATCTTGGGACCGTGAGATAAAGAGACAGACCCAAAAGATGATGGGGCAGAGAGAGAAAAGAAGCCAAGGACACAAAGATACCAAGTTCTCATGCAAGTGTATGAGCTTGGAACTCTTCCTCTGAGTTTCATGTTATTTGAGAGGAAAAAAGTGAGCCTCACCTAGTAAACATAAATTAGGGCTAGGTGCAGTGGCTCACATTTGTAATCCCAGCACTTTGAGAGGCCGAGATGGAGGATCACTGGCACCCAGGAGTTCAAGACCAGCCTGGGCAACACAGCAAGCCCTCATCTGAACAAGAAATCAAAACATTAGCTAGCTAGGCATGGTGGTAGTGTGTATCTGTAGCCCCAGTTACTCAGGAGGTTGCGGCAGAAGGATCACCTAAGCCTAGAAAGTCCAAGCACTTGAACTGGTGACTAAGACCCCAACTCAAAAAATAAAAATAAAAAACACATAAATTGGGTTTTTCTGTTATATATGGCCAATCAAATTGTTATTTATTTAGATTGATAAAACTAAATACATGTTATGAACCCTGGTTCTAAGACCTTATGCCATTTGTGCTTTGAAATTGAAAGACATTAATGAGAGAGGCAGAGAAATAATTTGCTACTGGTCCACCTGGGTGAGTGAATCTTTTCTAAAGCAGCATTAATTTACAAATGATTATAACATTTACCGTGATAGCAAAAACACACTATCACTGCACATTTCTTTTCATTACAAATCTCGGAAGGAACAGGAAATCAGCAGTGTATCTGGAAAAAAGATGAGCATCATCAACTTCCCAATCCAATGTCATATTGATCACAAACTGCACGTGACTAAAACTTTTCAAATAAAACATGAGAAAATCCCTATCACCTGACTGTTGCCTTCTTTCAAGTTTTTTGCTTCAGAGTAATCAGAGATATAAAATTAGGGAAAAATATGAAAGCAAGATAGGGGGTACCAAGTTCATTTTCAAATAATTAACTATTAAAATAAAATCAAACAAAATGCAAGAATATATAACCTAGAATACCACGTTATCTTTTATATCTAGCAGTGACAAAAATCACTGGTGGCTTAGACCCTTCAGAAAACAATTCCACAGCAAGGATCTCACCAAAGCAGCATATGCAAAATAAAAGAGCGTGCCTTTGATACCTTAGTCAATGATAAAACCATGATACCCTCAAACACTGGGTCTTTGTATATTAAAAAAAAAGGCAGTGTAGAAACTGTGGTTTAGTCACAAAGACCCTAGAATGAGCACAAGCATGCTCAGTCTTTTGACCAGTAACAGGAATGCTGGTATCATTGATCACTGGTAGTGACCACCCCGCTTGTCCCTTTTATAGGTCTACACACAGTCATTAACTTGTTTCTTTGGCCTTATTTGACCATATTTCGGTATTTATTTTTTAATTTCCTTTTCCCTTTCTCCTGAGCCTATGTGGATACTTCTGCTTCAGACAAATGAAAATAAAGTGAAGAGGAACGGGAAGGATGGCACTGATGTGTGTCCACACTGCTTCAAGTCCCGATTTTCACTGATAGGTTGGTTACAGAGACTTGTGCTTTTCAAAGGCGAAATGTGTTCTCTAATTCAGGGAGACACTGGTTCATGAATTCCATCTCTGTGTGTAGAACTCATTTCAGGCACAGTGTCGATCTAGAATAACCAACATCCATCAGCATTACTCATGGTAAGCCACCCACTCATGGTTGGCCATCCCCCAAAACAAGCAAGCAGAGTAAGTCGAACTCCACACCCCACACTCAGCAAAATCACTTTTCATGTTGCTTCTGTCGGTGAAATCACTGGTTCCACAGTGAAATACCATGGGCCAACAGGAAGTTCTGTCCTTTTAGCGAAGTTCTTAATCTACATCTATAATATTAATGTTCTCTATAAAATAATGACGCTATTAATACCCCCAATGTATTTTTAAGATATTTTTCTTGAGGCACAGTATACATATATAATTTATCACCTTTACCATTTTTCAAGTATACAGTTCAGGGGTAATAAACACACTGATATTCTTTTTTTTTTTTCTCCTGTATCCCCCTACATTTACTATAAAGTTTGAAAGTAATTTATAAGTTATAAGTTTGTAAGTTATAAAAATAAGTTGTAAATTTCACAGTATGTGAAATATGTCACTACACCCAAAGTCCTTTCCCATGCTAATGTCATATATGGGAATATCTCTCCAGAAATAAAACATGTTTCTGGTTGAAGAAAAGAAAGGGAGGAAGCCCTCTTCCCAATTTCACATGATTTTGGCTGCTGTTGTTGGTCTTATTTTTGTTTGTACTTTGGAGGCTTTTTGCTGTTTAAAGATATCTTGAAAAGACCTTCAGAGCCCCTTGATAAGAAAGGAAGGAAGAAGGGAGAAAAGAAAGAGAGGAAGTGAAGGGTTTCCTAAAAGTCCTGTCGTGAACCAGCACAGGTGATACCTACTGATTGAACAGTATCCGTGAGCGCACAATGAACTTGAAGATGTACTCTAAGGCTTTCATAGCTTTGTACAGCTGGTCATTTATCCCCGGCTTCTCAGCATTGTCCACATAGTTCCTTAATACTTTCGTCAGCTTCCTATTCACAATGGAAACACAGAAGTAAGTTCAGAAATTACAATATCTCAATCCTGAACTGATAAAGAAATACACAAGTGGGTTATTGTTACTTCAGCTTCCACTTATCAGTATACGCGTATTTGCAAAATGTTTTCTAATCAAAGTGACTGATAAAATACTTCTCAGGGAAGCAAGGTCTGAGAATTTAATACGCACTTTCGAAGTTTAGATGTTATTCTAAGCAGGTTGAACACATAATCTAATTTAATCTCCACAGCAACACTACAAGGCAGTATTATCCTGTTTGACAGTTGAGGAAGCCAAGTCTTCAATAGGAAAAACTAACTTCTCCAATGTTAAACAATAAAATCAGCCAGGCACAGTCTATAATCCCAGCACTTTGGAAAGCCAAGGCAACCAGTACTTGCAACCAGTAGTTCAGGCCATCCTGAGCAATATAGCAAGACTCTATCTCCAGAAAAATATATTTTTTAAAATTATCTGGATACAGATGGTACATGCCTGTAGTCCCAGCTACTCAGGAGGCTGAGGCAGGAGGACTGTGTGAGCCCAGGAGTTCATTAGAGTGACCTATGACTGCACCACTGTACTTCAGCCTAGGTGACAGAATGGGACTCCAGCTCTTAAAAAAAAAAAAAAAGAAGAAGAGGAGGAAGAGGAGGGGAGGAAGGAGAAGAAGTAAGAGCAATTGTCATTAGAAAAAACTTTTTTTTTTCAGAAAAGACATTACACCAAAAATATACTTGGACTGGATAATGGTGACGATTTTTAAACACTGTAAATGTACTAAGCACCATTGAATTGTACACTTTAAATTGATTTGGTAATTTTTTTTTTTTTTTTTGAGTTGGAGTCTCACTCTGTCGCCCAGACTGGAGTGCAGTGACCACTCCCGGCCACTGCAGCCTCGACCTGCTGGGCTCCGGCGATCCTTCCTCCTCAGCTTTCCGAGTAGCCAGAATTACAGGCGCGCGCTACCACGCCCGGCTAATTTTTTGATTTATTGTAGAGATGAGGTCTCGCTGCCCAGGCGGGTCTCGAACCCGCGGGCTCAGGCAATCCACTCACCTCAGCCTCCCAAAGGCACGGAATTACAGGCTGAGCCACCGAGCCCGGCTGATTCGGTAATTTTAAGTTGTGTGTATTTCACTGAAATTTTTTTAAAAGGCATGAAACAATGTTATTTTCTAGAAAGCACCACAGCTATCTCTACTTGTTTCAGTTGGCTCTCTAAAACTAGAGTTCTTACAGTGAAAATTACAATTCCAAAAATAATTTTTAAAGAGGAAACATTCTTAAATTTTTAATGAATTTTCTAAAAATCCTTAGATAAAAGAGTAAAAACAATATATGAGACTATATCAGTGGATACATTAAAAGATTTTTAAATTTTTTTCCACATTTCCTAATAATAGCATTTCTCCAAAAGCATTCGGTTTTAAAAACATAACGACTATACTTCTCTTAGCCTACATATTTATAAAGTATGATCTAAAACTCAGTAATTCCCAACACAAGATTTAAAACCTTTTCCATGATAAAAAAAAAGTCAACACAATTTATAATGCATAAAAATTAATCAGAATTATTTTTGCATTTTTCATCCTACTATAGAAGTAATTGTAGACATTTGGTATAAATAAAATATATATTGGAAGCTTAATTTAATTCATAGTTTTATAAATGAAGTGCTTATTTCACAGATAATTGTTTTTAATTCCTTGGTAAAAATAAAGAAAAAAACACTGAACTTTTTCTACTGTGCTGCAATTCAAATAACTAGAAAGTTCACATGATAATAGAGTTACTCAATCTTCAGGGTATGTGAGAATATTAATTTTAAGAAACAAACAAAAACATCTAGAAACATACAAATATAAGTAACCAATCCCATTTATACATAAATACATAGAAATTAACATAACAATTAGTAAAAATTTTACCTAACACAGACAAGATATGGGAAATCATAACACTGCTGTCTGGCTATATAAGAACGATACTTCTGGAGGGTATTGTGGCAATACGTATTATAATATCTATTGGCTATATCTATTACAATTACAAATATTCCAATCCTTTGATACTGGCGATTCCACTTTCAGTAATTTGTCCTATAGAAACAATTACAAATGAAGTAAATGCTGTTCATTGTAGTATGATGTGAACTTGTAAAAATATGTAAACAATGCAAATGTCTTTCAACTGAGAACTGGCTAAATAGATTGTGATACATCCCTACAATAGAATATTGCGCAGCTATTCAGTACAAAAGGTGGGCATCAGAGGGAGAGATTCCACCATCACTAACATAAAAAAAGACCAGTTATGTCACCACACTATTACAAGAAAACAGTAGTTATAAAAAAAAAAAAGGAAGGTCTATGAGGGTCTATTCTGTATTTTATATTCTCTCCCTTTGATCTTTTGGTCTATCTTTATTCCAATACCACAATATCTTGGTTACTGCAGTTTAATGGTATATCTGAAAATCTGGTTCTTCTTCTGAAAAATTATTTGGTTATTTTAGATATTTTGCATTTTCAAATAAATGTTCAAATTGGCTCATCAACTTTTTTCCACAAAAGCATGCTAGGATTTTGATTAGCATTGTGTTGAAACTATAGATTAATTTGGGACAAATGAACATTCAAGCAATTAATTTTTCAATCCATAAACATGGTATATAATTCTAATCATTTAATTCCTTTTAAATTTCTCTCAGCATGTTTTGCAACTCTCAGTGCAAAAGTCTCACCCATCATGAAATTTATTTCATCTATCATTAAATTTATTTGATTTTCGAGAATATAGCAAATTATACTGTACTTTTAATTTCATCTCTCAATTTTTATGCAAACAACTGACTACACATACAACTGAATTTCAACAGCTAAACATTAAAGTCAGACAATGTTGATGAGGATACAGAGTAAATGGAACATTTCTAGATTGCCAGTGGAATGCAAAATGGTTCAAGCATTTTGGAGAACGGTTTGGCAATATTTTTATAAAGTAAACTACAAAACGTACTCTTTAGCCCAGCAATGCTACTCCTATTGCACTTGTTCAAGGCAAATGAAAACCACGTCCAAAAGACTTGGATAAGAATACTCATTGGAGCCTTATTCACAATAGCCAAATGCTAGGAATACTTCACCTATCCATCAACAGAAGAATGACTATACAAACCAGGGTATACTCATGCAACAGAATATTATTCAGCAATTAAAAAAATCAAACAATAATGCACTAAGTGTGGAAATCATTTTATAAGACAAGAGCCACTTTGTGTTAACCTACAGCTGACCAATGAGTGGCCTACCATCAAAGTCAGTCACCAACCAATCAGTACAACCATGTTTCAATCCCTCACTTGCGTGGTGGAACCAGAGAGACCAGCTCCCTTACTATAAAAACAACCTCAAACCGAGTACTCGGGGACAACAGCTCTTCTATCCTACTCTCTGCTCCCTTCCAGTGTACTCAACAAACTGTCCTTCTCTACTCTGACTTGGGTGAATTCTTTCACCGCTGGCAACTCCAACTAACTGGTCGCTACCCACGACACAAAGCAACCTGGATGACTCTCAAAAAAGCACTAGGCTAAGAGATGCCAGACACAAAAGAGTGCATGATACCACCGATACAGAGTTCAATAACAGGCAAAACAAACTTCTGATAAGAGAAAGGCGTGGCACTGACTATTTCTTTGGGAGTGCGACTGACTGAGAAAGGGTAAGAGACATTTTTTCAGGCAATGGCCATTTTTACATCTTGTCTCAGGCAGTGGTTACAAGAGGGTATGCAACTGTCCACACTCACGAAACGAGCATTGTGCTCCGTGTAAAATAGAATAGTGAAAAAAAGTTTTTAAATTTTAAGTAAGCAAAAATAACCTGATGCCATTTTGTAAAATAAGCAGACATAACAACCATAATCATGTTAATATACGCATAAAAATAAATCCAAGCTAGCGGTTGTCGCCGGTATGTAGCACTGCACGGAGGGAACTTTTATTGCTGCCATATAACTGCTTGGTAATGTGAGATTTTCTTTCTTTCTTTTTTTTTTTCTTACATTGAACACATGCTATTTTTAAGTGATGAAGTCGTAGTGGAATTAGGTAATTGTCGTTTCTGTTCATACATCTACACTTCTTACCACTACTTACCCATCAAATAATAATCCTTGTTCATAAAAATGGCCCTCAAGAAATAACATCCATAATAAAAGAACAACTAAAGCAACTTCAATGTAGTTTCATTTTTTTTTAACATAGTGAGCTGTGCTACAATGCTCCAAAAACTAGCAGCATGCAAGGAGCCAGGAAGGTAACAATCAACAAGAATTATCTGCTAACCAAGCTTCTCCAGTCACCCACTCCGTATGTACCAAACAAGAATTCACCGTGGCTTTTTTTAAAAGCCACACAAAATACTTTTATTTTCATGAAAGTAATCTGCTAGGTTACTGACAGCATGTCCAGTAAAGCTGCGAGCCAGGAAGGGCCAGACTGTTCATCATGGTTATATAATAAGACATTCAGAAGAGCAACCTTCACTGCAATTATGGATGAGCTAAGAGAAACTATTTTACAGATAAATCACAATAAAAAAAAGCTTTTTTGGATGACTCAGTGCATGTGAAGTCATTTCCAACACTGCTCAGGTGGCAGAGCTCCTGTAAGGAAGCTTGATACTCAGAGGAGCACTCCTGCTTGCCATTCTAAAGAGGCCAGGTCTGCAAGATCCTCCGGCAGTAATGTTCATTTGCATTGGCTGGAACGTGCAGCCCACCGTTTGCCTCTCATGGTGGTTTTTACTGCCTAGGAGAGCATCCGGGGTCCTGGTATAAAGTCCACTTCCCTTGCTTTAACTTATTTTCCCAAACTTGCCGGACCACACACCTTTTCTTATTATGCCCATTAACATCCTAGGGAATAAGCATACCATAGAACACATTTTGGGAATCCTTCCAAACAACTCATCAAAGCAAAGCAAAAGAAATAATCATGATTTGCAAAGAGAATGACCCAGAACCAAAAAATAAATCTGCCAGGCCATCTTATACCTGCACAAAGATCAAACCCCTTGGCACTAGCTAGAGGGACCGGGGCAACTGGGGCATCAATTAGGTCACTGAGAGCCTGCAGCAGCTCCGTGAAAGGTAGCTCAGTGGACAGAAAGGAACCCAGTCATGCTGGTTTTATGGAAAAGCAGTCCCTAAAGCTAATTCCTCCCTCTGTTCTCACATGAACTGGTGCTGGTCAGCCCGTGGAGCTCCAGCACCTGTGAACTAGCTATGCAGGGGAGCTGCAGATTGGGGTCAGAGCACCAAAAAGTACTCCCCATTATGGAAAACTTTCATATCCTCTCTTGGAGTGCTTTGGGAAGGAAGGCTAAAGAGCTCGACATTTATCAAAAGAAAGAGACTAGATGAACAACAGTCTAACATAAGCCTGCGCCTGCCAAGTCCTTCTATAGGGGAAAAAGGAAGATGCTTTCTGTGATGATACCTAGGACTAGAATGCCACCTGGCCCAGAGAATAACACAAGTGCATCCACAATGTGGCTAAAACTATTGACTCCTTTGATAGTTCAAGGTATAAATATTCAGATTCAAAGTGCTGAAGAACTACTCAAGGTTACTAGTTTATTAAAACATGGTAAGAATGCCTATTTTCCAAAATAAAAATCTCCTTTTCAGCAGATTCCAGAGACTACATGAGAGGAGGCCGTTCTTATCTCAGGCACATCACAGCATAAAGACAAAATGTTCCTTTTTGTTTTTCTCATTGAACAACTTGCCAAAAGTTTCCCCCATTTCTGTTCCCCCACCTATGAGAATAAGGGTATCATTCTTTCCCCAACAACACAGTACGATAAGGCTGAGGTCAACAAAGCAATATGGAACGCGACATAATAGGCTGATTCCTGGGTCTCATCTTCTGGAACTAAAGTACAAAGTCTAACCTGAGAAGAGCTCTTTGGTCGCATTTCAATCAAGAAGCAGAATCTTGAAAATGAGCACACAGGAAGATCAGCACTTTGAATCTGAATATTTACACCCTGAAATACCAAAGAAGTCAATTGTGATTGACATAGTTTTAGCCACATTGTGGATGCACTCGTGTTATTCTCTGGGCCGGGTGGAATTCTAGTACCATGTATTATATCACAGCAAGTGTCATCCCTTTTCCCCCTTGAGCAAGCCCCGCACACTGGTATTTTGGTCGCTAGAGAGAAGGTGCCACCGACTTGCCCTCCCCACAGCCTGTAAGGAACTGTGTAACACGCCAACACGCTGGGCATCGCCAGTCAGTAAACAAAATGTTTCAGCAAGCATTTATTAGTGAGCAAGCACAAAGAACTCATCAAGCTTGAAGATCTCGCAGCTCTTGGCCCACCTGGGGCTCCAGCCACCATCTTGCAATAGCATGCACTCAAGGCAGACACGAAAGAATCCCGGCACAGGATGGGAGTACCCTAAAAAGTGGCTTTCAGCAGCCAAAATCCTCTGACCTTGAGTTCACAGCTGCACACAGGCAGGGAAAACAAGGTTTTACAGAAGTATGTTCCAGACACAGAAAGGAGTTGTTGTTTTTCCTTTGTTTTGTTTTTTGAATTGGAGTCTCACTCTGTCGCCCAGACTGGAGTGCAGTGACCGCTCCCGGCCACCGCAGCCTCGACCTGCTGGGCTCTGGTGATCCTTCAGCCTCAGCCTTCCTAGTAGCTGGAACTACAGGAGCACACCACCACGCCCGGCTGATTTTTGATTTATTGTAGAGATGAGGTCTCGCTGCCCAGGCGGGTCTCGAACCCGTGGGCTCAGGCAATCCACTCACCTCAGCCTCCCAAAGGTGCAGGATTACAGGCTGAGCCACCGAGCCCCGCTAGAAAGGAGTTTTGCCTCAATTTACTGACACTAATGAGAATCCTTTCTAATGACTCTAAGTGGGGTATGCTTAAAGAAATCATGCAAATCTTTATTTTTCATTGCAACTTACACAATAAAAAGTTTGAATAAATGCCAGTAAACCTCACCATAAGAGAGCAAGAAATTCATCATCATAAATCTAGTAATAACGAAACCCAACGATTGCTTAGTGCTTTCTGAATACTAGGGATTATTCCAAGCGCTCTACATGCAATACTTATTAAAATTCTCATACCAAAAAATAGCAAAATCATGTTTTTTGGTTTTGGGGGTTTTTTTCCACAGACGAGAAGGCTGAAGATTAGCGAGGTTAAGCAACTTGCCAATATCAGAGAACATGTAGCAGATCGAGCTGCATATCAGGTCCAGTCAGCCTGACTCCAGGTCTGTGCTCTTGAACACCAGGTGAGCCCAGGCATTGTGCATGCTCTCTTGGCGTTTCACTAGACCTCTGGGGTACAGATGGGGACTCGGGGGAGAGGTGACAGGCAGAGGGGTGGGCAGTAAGAATCCAAGCCAGGCTCGGTGGCTCAGCCTGTAATCCCGCACCTTGGGAGGCTGAGGTGAGTGGATTGCCTGAGCCCGCGGGTTCGAGACCCGCCTGGGCAACTTGGCGAGACCTCATCTCCACAATAAATCAAAAATTAGCCAGGTGTGGTAGCGCGCGCCTGTAGTTCTAGCTACTTGGAAGGCCGAGGGGAAAGGATCGCCGGAGCCCAGCAGGTCGAGGCTGCGGTGGCCGGGAGCGGCCACTGCACTCCAGTCTGGGTGACAGAGTGAGACTCCCACTCAAAAAATAAAATAAAATAAAAAGAATCCAAGACAATGACAGCTGAAGCTTATGAAACAAAAAGGAAGGCACTCTGTCAAGAGCAAGGAGATACACTGAAAAGTACCAAACTGAATTTCATTCACGATAAACAACCAATCACCTCAAAACAAGAACATATCCATTTATTCATTCATTAAAGGCTCATTGGGAAGCTGCAGTGTGAAGGCACTCTGCACCCATAGATCAGTTTTGTTGAACATAAACTAAAGATTTCAGACATAAATGGAAGGTGTGGAAGAGAACAAGAAAGTATTCCAGAATATTATGGCAATTTATCACATATCTCTTTCAACAAAATTTTTAGGTCTGCTAGCAAGAAAACAGTAATAAAAATTATCCCAGTAAATTCGGAGTTTTGAGAGGGGAAATATACAGTCACAGACAAAAGCATATGTAAAAGACCCCGAATAACAAACATGAAAACAAGAAGCACTGGCTTTAAAACAAAATAGGAACTTACGTATAGGCTAACGTTGCACTGAAGTGTTTCTTAATGTATGTTTCCAAAACAGGGTTAAAATGCTGAAATTTTCTATCAGCAATTAGTCCAATGATAAATACCTGTTGAATTAATAATATTTTCATTAGCCACATGACGTAAACGATGTTGGAATCTTCATCTGAACCATTTGCACCACCATGTGAAGAAACGAACTGCAACATGTTCTGACAGAAGTTGGTAGCTGGCTGGTTTACATCTCTTCTTACCCTAGAAATGACACTGGCTAATATAGTTTCATACACCAAAAACAAAAACACAAAAACTTTCTACCTCTCCAATTCCCTCTCCTTTGACTGAATTTACAACTGCGAATACTGCTTTCAAGGTCAGGGTGACGGATTCCCTCCCCCAGTTTCCAAGGCTGCAACAGAATGTATGGATGTCTGAGCAGCTGAGAAGTAAAAATCTCTTACCAGAGCATCAAACACTAATGTATCAAAGGTCTCACTCTCTGAGTTCTCCATCATGATGTTGAAGAGGGCATCCAAGGTATCCTGGAGAAACTGCACAGACACAGCAGGTCGGTGGATAATGTACACTCACCCGGAATCCCCCCACAACAGAATAACTATCATCCCTGCAATGTTCCAAATACCCACCTTTCCCCAACACTACCTATAAAGCCATTCTGGGATTTGTGTCAGCCATTAGATGCACAAGAAAAAAATTTTGGATAAGTGAATTCAGAACAAAGGAATGCCACTCCAAGCCAGGTAGCGACAATCACAGCAGGGAGACGTCCTCCTGTCTCCTTCCCACAGGACTTTCCCAACCCTCTTCCTGGTTTTCATCAGACTGGGGGACAAAGAACTGGTTGGCAGCTCAAGAAGACTAGATCTGACTTCCTATAAACACTGAATACAGAACTCCAGCTAGTACAAGACCTTCCTTTTCGACAGTAACTTAAAAATCACATTTGCAGTCCACTCAAACCTAAATATTACCACCTTCAGTGACACAGCATCACTAATTTAATGAAGAAAAGAAAACATTAAGAGACTTCATAGGTAAGTCACACTATGACACACCTTCAAGTCCCACTGGAAAAGACTACTGGAAACGATGACCCCTGTGATTGGAGAAGTGTAACCACAGGGAGAATGCCATAAAACAAAACATCGTAAATGTTGGCCCTAAACATTACGAAGTACTGACATATATCATCATTACTCATTAGGGATATGCAAAGCAAAACCATAATGAGATATCACTTCGCACCCAACAGGGTGGCTAAAATTAAACAGATAAACAATAAGTGTGGGCAAGAACGCAGAGAAATTGGAACCCTCGTATGTTCCCGGTAGAAATGTACGACCGTGCAGTGGCTCTGCAAAACAGCTTGACAATTCCTCAAAAAGTTAAACACATTTACCATACGATTCTACAATCTTATTCCTAGCTATATATCCAAAAGAAAGGAAACATATGTTCACACAATAACTCACACACAAATATTCATAACAGTCTTATTCACAATCACCAAAAAAGTAGAAAAAACACAAGGTTCATCAACCAAGGAGTGGAAAAACAAACCGTGGTGTACCCATCCAATGGACTGTTAGCAAGCCATAAAAAGGAAGGAAGCATTGACACGTGCCACAAGATGGATGAACTCTGAGGATATTATGCTAAGTGAAAGAAGACAGATACCAGAGGACACACAGTAAATGATCCAATTCATCTAAAATATCCAGATGTAGAAACAGTAAGAAGATTAGTGGTTATAGGAGAATGGGGGAAATGACTGCTAACAGGTATGAGATTTCCTTCTGGGGCAATAAAAATGTTCTGAAATTAGTCAGGGGTGATAGTTGCACAACTCTCAATACACTAAACAAACTACTGAGTAAAATGGTGAATTTTATGGATGTCGGTCACCTCTCCATGAAACCATAACCTGAAGGAAAAAAAGGAATGGGTGAGTTCATCACACAGCAAGGACGTTGGCAGCAAGGCTGAATCAGAAGGCTCGTTCCGATTCTTCCTGAACAGCTCAGTCTATATTCCACATCCGCAGGGCCTTCCAGACCCACGGAAGGTCGCAAACTGTTACAGCCCGAGACTGAGGAGCCAATCGACAGGAACCTGCTTCCAAACGAGGACGGACCCACCACCTGGTTTATACCAGAAAATGTCACATACAAACACCAACAACAAAATCACCCTGACCAGGAGGCACACGAGTCTGGATATCAACGGCTTAATCAACTCCGTAATTATTTGAGTCTGCACTGCCTCGTAACTCCTGAATAGTTTTCAGATTACAAATCATTTGCTAATGTCAAAACTTGGTGCTCTCTGCTAACAGATTCATGTCCCAGCCAACGGGTTCCCCAGGTGCCAGGCCCTGGCTTGTTGTGGCTCACGCAAAGGCCTTGGATGAGGTCTATCAGCCCAACCCAGACAAACAGCAAGGTCTACAGCACAGAAATAGAACCACAGGGAGCTAGAGTCTATGTATAGAGCCGTGCAGCCGCGGTGAGGCAGAGCTGAGCATGCTCCACAAGCAGCCACGACAGGGCTTTGTTTGACGCCCTACCCTCTCGCTAAAACCATCCACTGGAGAACCAAAATCACCATTTTCATGTTCCATCTTAACAGGAAGCCATATCCTTTACTAAACACACAAACACCCTCCCACAGTGTATCAGGCAAGATCCTCTCTCTACTACCAGTTGTAAAATGCAGAAGGGAGGCCGTGAATGGATGGAATAAAACACAGAATCTATCAGCATCCCAAAACAGAGCAAAAGGAGTCCATGCAGACTGGGAACTCCTCAGGTCCTGGCTGGCCACCAACAGCCCTGTGGCTTTAGATAAGTCAATTCACCTGTCTGGGTACAGAGTGCGTGCAGGATATGCTGGCAAAGAGAAAAATTGGTCAGTCAGACAAGGTACGGGCTAGGAGGGTATCCAGGCCCAGGTAGTACCAATGTGCCCAAGAAGAAGGGAAAGGTGTGGAAAAACATTTCAAGGGATGAACAATAGGATGGGATAATATATTAGATACAGGAATTGGAGGACAACAAAAAGACAAGATTCTAGATTTCTCCTGGTAATTGTGACAGCAGGTCAACAGAAATATAACGAATTCCTGATGTGATCCAGGCGCTTAAAAATGAAAAAGGAAAAAATTTCATTAACTGTGTGTCTTCTAAAGTATGTTCACTTATTCACCTAGTTTCCATCTGAATCAGGGAATTTATAAAACACAGGGAAGTTTAAAATGCAATTAACATTGTCCAAGCCATTGGGAGAAGAGCAGAACTGAAAAGATGATTAAAATTTTAAGATTAGCGAGAATATATTTGAATGGTTCTACAACGAATTCAGGAAAGTGGTGCAACCAAATTAATTTGTACTGAAGCTAAGCACATTGCTGGTTAATTAAGACCATTTTAAGTAATTAATTTTTGCATAGATAAGGTAGTCAGTCTCCTTCTGCAATCACCTTTCCTGGAGTGTGAGGGACTGAAGCAGCTGCACACAGACCTGGCTGCAGTGGCCATGCTTACCAAACACCACGTGCCAGTGACAGGCTCATGGAACCCAGGCCGAAACAAAACATACGGGAAATGCAAATGCATTTCCTCAGGTACAAGAAAAAGTCACTCAAGTGAACTAAGAGGTACATGAGAGCAAAGAAGAGCTCATGCCAGAGAAAATGTCAGAACCACAAACCATTATGGAATAAGGAATTACAGAATTTGAGCCTCCAAAGGGGATTTCGGGTGATGCTAATCTGACTATCTTATCTCACAGATAAAGATCCAGAGCCCACGAGGGCTTGAATAAAAAACAGTCCCTAACATTTCTCCAGAGCCTGCCGTGTGAGGCTCAAAACTGAGTCCAGGGACACAAGGGGGAAAAAATGGCAAAGACAAGACTCTCGATGCTGGGACCTTTCTACCACACCCCACACCTCTCCAGGTCACCATAGAAGATCTCAGGAAATCATGAGCCAGAGCTAATAACAACGATCATGACAACAGGAAAAAGATCTGACACTCACTGAACATCTCCATGTGCCAGATGCAGGCTCTCACGTCTCACCTAACCCTCATACAACCCTGAGGAAGGCGATATCGTTATTAGTAGCAGACAGTGAGGTTTGAAGCGGCTATTCGGCTGCTGTCAGTCAGGATGCAAGGACCCATCAAAGAGGAAACAGAGCCCAAGGTTAGCCTGATTCCAAAGCCCAGACAGATCCTCCCAAACCAGGATCCAAGAAGTGCTCTCTCCACTAAGAGGGGCATGTGGTTATTTATAAAAGGGATTACAACCAGAATCCTATGCTCCTTTTGGACTCAGCGTCTACATAATAATGTGTATTTTTAAAAAATGGTAAAAAAAAAAAGGAAAAACCCTTCTGGAGCCCGTGTTACCTTCACAACTTCGCCACCATCCACTTTCATCAACTGCCTCAAGTTCTGCTGCAGCAAGTTGATGTTGGAGCGCCACTTCAAAAGCCCCAGAAGGTCCACTGCAAACAGAAAACGAAAGTCAGTTCTTCACAGAAAGAACTGTGTCTCTCCTTCATCATGCATTAGTGAGATTCTCTAGAAACGGAGAAATCAGCTCGATTTTAAAAGGTCCGCCTGCTAAATATTCCATTACTCTGTGCAACATACTTAACACCCAGTGTGGTTGAATTCATTATTTGCAACGACTTTTTACCATGAAACGATTTCCATGTACAAGCTTTAAAAATGCATTTGAGAACCTAAAAAAGAACTGGTCTTTCCCATCTACAAGAGGGCAGTTGCCGGGCATCACCAGGCCAGGAAGAAGCCTGCTCACCCAGAAAGTGCAGCCCTGGCGTTTTCTTCTAAGGTTTTTTTTTTCCTTTTCCTGCTTGAGAACAAGTCTCTCTCTCTCTCTCTCTCTCTTCTCGATGTGTGTGTGTGTATATGTACGTGCACGCGTGTGTGTGTATAAAATAATATAAAATAACTAACAGAAATTCAAGTCCTGAATTTGCAGCTACAGTGACTCTGGGCAACTGAGACTACTCCTGCATTGAGCTCCCTGCCTGGGCTTCCACAGCTGTTGGTGGTTCTTACGGATGCATTTTGGTTTGCTTCATTTTTAATAGACAAATCAAGGGCTGAATAGATTGGATTTTAATGACTCAATGTGGAAGATAATGTCCAGAAATGATTTTCTTTCAGGCCTCAAAATGTTCTTTTAGGTGCAAAGACAGAATCCAAAAGCCCTCTGGAAAAGTACACATGCCTGTAAACTTTCACTTGAAGTTCTATTAATATCCCATTACTTGAAAAAACACTATTAGCAAAGTGCACCTAATTTACTGTTTAGGCTCATCTGGATCCAACTTCAGCTACTGAAATTGTCTCCATAAAAAACAACAACCCAAAGCTCCAGTTAATACCGAAAAGAAAAATAGAATTTGTGCTAAATGTAAAACTCCTGCAAATAAAAGACTCCCTTTATAATTTCAAGAGCAAAGCATATAAAAAGCAACATGCAATAAGCTCCAAAATATACATTCCAAAAAATCCATTTTCCATTCCATATGCAACTCCATATTCCCAGGCAAGACCTCAGTCATCTGAACAACGGGTACGATGCTGCCTGATTCACAGGACAGCTGCAAGAACGAACTGACATGACGTGCAGAAAGCACGATGCCCAGCCCTAAGTACTAACAGCAGCCGTCATTCCAGGAGATGATCAGGAACTGAGACATTTCCCCATTCCTCGCGGACGTTAACATGCTTCAACTTCTAACCAAAAGCAAAGTGACAAGAAGAAAGAGGCCCTATCCTGCCTGGACACCTCCTGGGTCCTGGCGTTAAAGGGAGATCTCTGTTTCACAAGAGTCACCAGTGTTTCTTTCATGGAAACCAATCAATAACGTGGATCCCGTTCATTCACAGTCAGTGGCACACTGTGTTGTGAATTTGAGAAAATAGTACAGCTGGGCCCATCAGTAGTAGCAGAATACCTCTGAAGCAAACAGAGCTGCCCAGTCCCCGGAGGCTGGCCAAGTCAGACAACTCCCTCTCTGGACCCTGACTGCCACACTCATTGCAGTTTGGCCCGGAATTATTCTTCGTTTCATGAGTCTTTTCTCTCTAATTATAGAGTAAGTTAATTGAGGAGAGAAATCACATCTTATACTTCTTTTTCTATCCCCCACAGCATCCAGCATAGTGCTGAGGACAGAGATGTTTAATACAAACCTTGATGAATAATTCAGCCACAGCTTTTCCCTGAGTAATGGAACTTCGTAGTAACAAATCACGGTTTCAGGAAAATGACTCCCTCAAATGAGAATCTGGGAGTCGATGCTTAGATGCCATTTGGGGCAGCTCCATCTTGCACACAACCTGACAGGCCACCATCCCAAAAAGAGGAATCTTGGCTGATACGAAATGAAAGCCGAAAGATTTCCCCTTCTGCCAGTGAGCAGCATCACACTGGAATTTCCTTGTTGCCTGGTAACAGCTGCTGCTGAGACCAGGGTGCTCTCTCCCTGGGTTCCAGAGAGGGAATTACTCTGCGGCCCCGTCTCAAGGAGCTTGAAGGTGGGGAGAGACCGGCCAACACCAACACCCACACCCTGGGAGAGGTCCTGCTTCACAGACCTCTTTTCCAAGGATATGCGGGTCAAAAAGGATTCTGCAACTGGGCCTCATAACCTAACGGCTGCTCAGAGCATTGTTTTGAAGGGGAAAACATGTTCAAGTTCCCAATATCAACTTCCAAAACCACTTTTGAAACAGGACCATGGAGGAGGCGGTGGCTGCAGATGTGGTGAGATGACAGTCCACGGCAACTTTCATTCTCTTGGCACCTACTGAAATGTTAAAGTGCTTCACACATCAGGTGGCAACCCACCCAACGATGTCACCTTTGTGTTAAACGAGGCCCTGGAGCCGTCATCGGTCAGGCGAGTGGGTCTACCAAGACCATATCCAGAGAGTAACACTTGTCACGAGTGGGGCATCCTTTTCATAACTGGTTCCGAGCTGGGGTCCATGCTGTGGACCACACGTCCCCTGGGCACTATACCTACGAGCTCCCTGTGTGTTCCCCACCTCTCCGCTACATGTTGCCCCAGTCCCCCAGTTAAGGCTTTTCACCTGCTCAAGGAGATCACCACACAACCACAAGCTAGGACACTCCATAAATGCTTCAGGCAAAGCATGATGATGAAAGTAACATTAAATATCCAAATAGACTTAAACGGCCTGTATTCACATGTATCCCACAGCCTTCAAGCATTTGAGACCGGGCTCAGTGGCTCAGTCTGTAATCCCGCACTTTGGGAGGCTGAGGTGAGTGGACTGCCTGAGTCCGCGGGTTCAAGACCCGCCTGGGCAACTTGGTGAGACCTCATCTCTACCATAAATCAAAAAATTAGCTGGGCGTAGTACCGCGCGCCTGTAGTTCCAGCTACTTGGAAGGTTGAGGCGGAAGGATCGCCAGAGCCCAGCAGGTCGAGGCTGCGGTGGCCGGGAGCGGCCACTGCACTCCAGTCTGGGCAACAGAGTGAGACTCCAACTCAAAAAAAAAAAAAAAGCTGCCGGGCTCGGTGGCTCAGCCTGTAATCCCCCGCCTTTGGGAGGCTGAGGTGAGTGGGTTGCCTGAGCCCGCGGGTTCGAGACCCGCCTGGGCAGCGAGACCTCATCTCTACAAGAAATCAAAAAATCAGCCGGGCGGGGTAGCGCGTTTCTGTAATTCCAGCTACTTGGAAGGCTGAGGCGGAAGGATCGCCGGAGCACAGCAGGTCGAGGCTGCGGTGGCCGGGAGTGGCCACTGCACTCCAGTCTGGGCGACAGAGTGAGACTCCAACTCAAAAAAAAAAAAAAAAGCATTTGAGAGACTTATTGCCCCCACACTAAGCAGTTTACTCATGAGACCAGGGGGGGAAGGCGTAACTTGTATAGCTCAGAACAACAGAGTAGAGAGTGCAGTCACAGAAAGTTTTAAAAGCATCTACAAGTTCTAAAAGCACTGATACAGGTCTGACAAGGCCAAACACTCTGAACACCCAGTGCACACTCCACTACAATGTGCTAGCTTCTAGGTGATGGGTTTACTTTTGTTCTGTGTTTATCCTGCTAAACTACAAACAAAAACAGTCCCTCAGGCAAAACCAAAACTACTGCCATGATTTACGGACAACCCCCAGAGACATAATTCATGATATCAACAGACATTAATAATCAAAATTCATATCAGGCAGTTAAGAGGAAAAGACTGGATTTTCAAGCTCCATTTCAAGAAAGCATAAAGCCACTCTGAACAGCTGTGACATAGCCACATTTGCAGATGCAATTTTTAAATGTAGGATTTGTGCAGAGAAGCCTCTGCTTCTTCCAGACAGAGCAACAGCAACAACGCTGATGTGCTCTGAATAAGAAGTACCCCTGGCCACACAGCGATGTCACCAGAGAGGCTACAAGCAGCGGTACAGGAACTTGAGTCAGCCAGCTGGCCCCAGCACAGGACACTGGATATCTGCTGACCACTGATCTGCTGTGCTAGGCTGAGTTTTGGGGTACAGGAGTCAGCAAAGGGTACCTTATCTCACACCACAAAAGGGGCTAGAAAACATCATCTGAAACTATTTTTAAAATAAAGATAACTGTAATTATCTCAGCGAGTAGCTGAGAATGCGAAAGACGCAAAGGGAGAATTGCCCTATGTCCTACAGCTTGTGCAACCCTCACAAAGCCCTTTGAGGCATGCGTGATTCCCGTGTCTACAGACAAAAAGAATAAGACTCACACAGGTACAAAGACTCAGGGTTAACAGAGGGCCAAGGTCCAATACCGGGTCTTTGGTCTGGCTCCAAACTTCAAGCATTTTCCTTTATGTCATGTACCTTCCTTTGGCCAAAAGAGCATGTTAAAGGATAAATCCATTGCTTTATCTCCCTTTAAGGGTAATCCTTAGACCAAAGTAGAAAGATGAAGTTTAGATTACAACAGGTACTGTCTCCTTCTTCCTAGTGCACTTGACATTGACCTAGGCCATCACGGGGCGACACCCCGAATGACACACAGGAAGAGTTCATGCAGCTCTAGAAGACGCCTCCATTCAACAAGAAGCATGGAAAAGACGGGGTTGGGGAACGAGCATTCCTGGAATGTGTTTCCATCCCCAAACTCACCATTCTGGGTCAGTTTGGTGGAGCACACTAGAGTTGAGATCTGGAAGGAATCTTTGCTGATGGTGCAGCTCCCCAGACTCTGCATGCTCTTGCCCGTGGCTGAGTGGCCCTTTTCCTCCAACTCTGTCTTGGTGGAGGGCAGACCCAAGTATGTCGCCGCATCTTCCAGCTTCTTCGCTTCGGCCTGGGGGTTGAGTTATGCAACACGTCAAACGCGGTTCACACACAGCCACACCCCATTTTTTCCATCCGTTGTTAACCTCAATCCTTATAACCATCACGATAGCAACTTTTCACAAAGTGCTAAACTACGCATTGTAGTCATTTCCCTTAGTTCCTGTGGCTTAATTCGTGGTCACGGCATGCTTACATAGGTCCCTACTGTTTTATGGTAGATCGTTTTCTCTCGTGAGGATGAGCCACAGGGCTGGTCATCAGAGATGTTCACTTATATAATGAAATGGAGCTAGCCAGCAGCTTTCTCGCAGGATGGGAAATGTCAGCTCAGGTCAGGAGGCTCAGGAAGAAGTGAAACGGTCAATGTCAGCAATACAGTAGCCATGAAACCGCATACCTTATAGACGATAAGATCATGCTCGCCATCCCTCAAGGTGGTACCATTACACCTCATCAGCTTGACAAATGCTAGTGCAAATATTTTCTCAGATTTATCCTTAGCTGCCCAAAAAAAAAAAAAAAAAAAGATAATAATCACCTTCAACAATGGTCACGTCAAAACATTATCAAATGCTGCAGAATCTACCCTTAGGAAAACAAGTACAAAATTGTCTGGACAAATGCTAACGACACCAAAATATATGAAAAAAAATGGACCATGTTTACCAGTAAGAAGATCCCTGCCACAAAGGGGTCAGCTGTTCTCAAATTAATCTGTAAATTCAAAGCAATTCCAGTCAAGATGTCATGGAAGAGGTTTTTTTGTGGAACCTGAAAACTGATTCCAGGACAAAAACCCTAAAAGATGGCTCCGAAGAAGGAAATGTATGGAAAAGCCTGCAATACTAGACACTGAGAACAACTAAAGTACCAATAATGAAGAGAAGACAGGGTGGGTTGAGTATTGGGATACACTGTCCAGTAGGAATGAGCAGGCTTTGGAAACACAAAGCCCCAGCAAACGGTAGGGACTGGGAAGGGGCAGACCTTTCCACTCAGAAAACTGCTATCAACACAGAAAAATAAAATAGATACCTGCCTCACACAGATTCAAATGGACCAAAGGCCTGAATGTGAAATCTTGTTCCCTTTGGCAAGAAAGTCCATCCTGCAGTTAAGAGGAGGAACCTCCAAAACCCTAGATTTTACTTATTTAAAAAATTGTGTATTTATTTTTACATATTTAAATTTCAGTCACCTTCAACGTATACTCTCCATTTGATAGAGGCAATACACCTATGGAGACACTTTTTCCACTGCTCAAAACGGTTTTTGAACTCATCGATTTTGATGTCTTTTAGTGCTTCTGCTGTTTTTTGTTTCACCTATTCCACGCCGGCAAAATGTTTCCCATTAAGGATTTTTTTCATCCGAGGAAACAAAAAAAAGTTGCTCAGGGTGAGATCAGGTGAATAGGGAGGATGGGGCATGGACGTCACGCAGTTTTTGGTCAAAAACTGCTGAACACTCAGCGAGGCGTGGGCCAGTGCACTGTCATGGTAGAAGAATCAGTCACCTGTTTGCCACAACTCTGGGATGTTTCTTCCACAAATTGTGATGCCACCTTTTCAAAACTTCCGGATAAAAGTTTTGGTTGACTGTTTGATCTAGAAGAACAAATTCTGAATGTACTACAAAGGACCTGCCTTCCAAAAGATAATTCCTGGTTTTTATGGGATCCCCTGCATGCAGGGTTCACTTTCTCACTTTATTCAAGTTTATGCTGAAATGATGTCTCCTCCAAAATGGGCACAACTTGTCTCAAAGAGCAAATTAGAAGCCCAGTCACAGCCTCTCCTCTCACTTGATTTATTTTTCTTCAGAATCCTCACTACTACCAGATGTGTGTGTGTGTGTGTGTGAAAGAGAGAGAGAGAGAGAGAGAGAGAGAGAGAGAGAGAGAGAGAGAGAGAGAATCTGTGATTGTTTATTGTTGGTTTCCTCCACCAGACCACCCTGGATTATGAAGGACCTTTTGTATTTTTTTCATTGCTATTTCCCAGTGCATGAAATAGTACCTGGTGTACTCAATAAATATTTGTGCTATTTTGGGAAACAGCCAAAAAAACAAATGAGTTCCTTCAGATGGTAAAGAAAATAAAACGTGGTGCTTTGTTAAAGGGTGACAGTGAGACCTGGGACAAGTCTGACTGGTTGGTCAGAAAAGGTCTCTCTGAGAAGGTGGACGGCACATGAGCCAAGATATAAACACTCCAGGAAGAGAGATGGCCAAACAGAGAGGCCTTAAAGTAGAACAGGCTGGGCTCACACAGGGACAGAAAGCCAGTGTGGCTGGTGAGCAGGAGGCAGTGAGTCCAAAGTAAGCAGGGGCCAGTCAGATAGCAACAGACAAGGAGTCTAGACTGCAGAAACAGATTCACATGAAGTCCCCAAGTTGTAACCCGAGTAGAGAATACAAACAGAGTTCCAGAGCTAGAGCATATCTTTAAAACTACAGATTCAAACCCCTCTTTTGAGATTCTAAATGACAGAGATCAGAGAGCAAAGAATCACACACACACATCTATCCTCCTTGAGTCATTAAGATGATTCAAATATCAACCCTGTGACCCTTCTATGCGAGATAACATGTCTTATACTCTTTGCCTTCTGGGTGTCCTTCAGTTTCTCACACGTAGTAGGTGCGCAATAAAATGCTGGCTCACTAGATGGCTCAATGAATGACTGACCATCTAAAACCCAAGAAAGGAAAAGAAGTAAAATATATGTACCCCAGGAATTAAGAAAAAAAAACGTAAAAGGGTGCCAGAACATATAAAATATCTCAATGTTCAAAGGGCAAAGAACAATTACTAAGTTTGGGATGACTTGAAAACCCAAAAGCATGCCTCTGTGAAAGCAGCCAGGGTTCAGAAGGACATGTGACAATAACTCAGCAGATGGCTTCCACTGATCTTGTCATCAAGTGGCACATAATAAGTGTGCCTTTCATTAGCATTCTGCATTTCATGTCCAAGAAGCAGACTGCTTTCTCTTACGTGCTCACTGACAGCCCCGACGAGGTGGATGGTTCATATGACAACAAAATTAAAGAAGCTTAGGAACCACAGGAGGGGGCATGAGTTCAAGATGGGCAGAGCTGACTCTCCCTGGAGTCCCAACCAACCAAGCCCACTAATCAAGGCAAGCTCTGCTCCTGGCCAACTGTGTCGGAGAGCCACAAGCCTGCTGGAATTCATGGGAAAAATCATCACATCAGTACCAAACTTTCCAATCCCGATGACGGATCCCAGAGTGAGAACCCCACTCCTTGTTCCCTTTGCTGGCCTCCTCTTTAGGGTGGCTAGTGGAGGCCAATGTGGCCTCAGGTCTCTCAGTCTGCTTCTGCCCCAGGTGCCCGCACCCAGGGCTGGCTGAAGAGGCCCAGGCGGCCACTCTCGGCGACTGGCATCCCAGGATTTGGCTGGCATCATACTTGTGATGCTCAACATGTTTCCAAAATCCCACAAGCCATGGCCGTGGAGACTTCATTCATTATGCAAATGTGTCCTGGTATGTCGGGCGATAGCATCTTGTCTATAATAAGTACTTAAAACTGACAAGAAAAACAAGGATTTTGAAAATTAAAATGCTACCAGAGGTATCCCTCTGCCCTAGTGTAACTTACTAATTAGAGAGAATGAGCTTGTTGAAAGAGGGGAGGACAACTGTGAGATGAGTCCTCTGAGGATTCTGGAACTCTGCCCTGGCCCTGCTTCCTCATGGACCCTAGGGAGATGTGTCCAGAGCCCCAGATCGTTCTCAAGAGGGTCTGGGGTCCACCACAGCCCACTAGGCTATGCTCTGGCCAACTCCCATCTGCCGTAGTTTCACTTGTGCATGCATCACACCCTCCATGCCTTGGCTGAGGACAGGCTGGTGCCAGAGTTTCCCCATTCACCCAACCTTACTCTGCCCACCCCGTACCTCTGCCAAGTTCATGTGACAGTCCCAGGCTGCTAGTCCCCAGTGGGTTCTTGCAAACTAATCTCACATCTCAACTCAAACCTAAGTTTTGCAAGAAGAGAAACCCCAGGCCGGGCTCGATGGCTCAGCCTGCAATTCCATACTTTGGGAGGCCGAGGTGAGTGGACTGCCTGAGCCTGCGGGTTCGAGACCAACCTGGGCAACTTGGCGAGACCTCACTTCTACAATAAATCAAAAAAAAAAATTAGCCGGGCATGGTAGTGCACACCTATAGTTCCAGCTACTTGCAAGACTGAGGCAGAAGGATCGCTGGAGCCCAGCAGTTGAGGTTGTGGTGGCCAGGAGCGGCCACTTCACTCCAGTATGAGCGACAGAGTGACACTCCAACTCAAAAAAAAAAAAAAGAAGAAGAAGAAAAACCCCAATAGCTTGCCATAGCAGGAGATCCACAAAGAGCAGGTGACAGAAATGGACTGGAGTATAACACAGAGGCACATATAGATACCACATGGGAAGCTTATGAGGATTAATCCAGGTACAAAGTAAAACTCTCGTGCCAGGCACAGTAAGAGCACAGTGAATGTGGGCTAACATGTTCACATTCGCAGACCCAGTCTGCACTGGGGACTGGTGGCCTAGATGTGGCACTGTGGCACTGATATGAGGGTGGGGCACTGACTTCCAAGCTGGCGGTCTTTATACCCCCACTTCTCCCAACATGAACCCCGATACTCCTGTAATGGGACGTCTGATCTGCATGCCCTGTTGGAACAGGACAAGGAGTAGAATGATACTCCAGGCAGCTGCCAGCCCCTCCCTCTACCCCCCCTCCTCCACCCACCACAAGGGACCCCATGCTGCCTTAGATCCCTTGGTTCAACCCCTTCCCAGCTGCACCTCACTACATACACCTCTGCCCTGATATGGTAGACCCACGCTCCAATTCTGCAGACCTCACACATCATGCAGACCTCAGACATCATGCATCTCAACTTCTCTGGATAACAGCAGGTCCAGGCTTCTTGAAAGCCTGACAGTGCGATCCACACACTCCAAACACCACGCCCCTGCTTATGAGTTCACTCCCCAAGTCACTCTCCCACACCCCTGCCTAGGCAAACCCCGTACCACATGGAGGGCTGGGGCTGCTCAGATCCCCAGAAATAGTAAGGCAGGTGGACAGGTTGGCAGAGCGGCACCAGCTACGGTGGAACCCCTGCCCCCTCCCAGGCTTTGTGCCAAGGGGCTGCCAACCCCCACCTTGCCTGACCTTCAAGACACCCCGGGAAAAAGGTATGCTCATGCTCAAGTGAAGATGCAGAAGAGGTTCACGCTGAAATATCTTTAAGAGCACACAGAAGCCGGGCTCAGTGGCTCAGCCTGTAATCCCGCGCCTTTGGGAGGCTGAGGTGAGTGAATAGTGAATTGCCTGAGCCCGCGGGTTCGAGACCCGCCTGGGCAGCGAGACCTCATCTCTACAATAAAATCAAAAAATCAGCCAGGCGTGGTAGCGCATGCCTGTAATTCCAGCTACTTGGAAGGCTGAGGTGGAGGGATCACCAGAGCCCAGCAGGTTGAGGCTGTGGTGGCCGGGAGCGGCCACTGCACTCCAGTCTGGGCGAGAGTGAGACTCCAACTCAAAAAAAAAAAAGAGCACACAGAGCCAGGACTGCCCACCCACATGTGTGGCCCCACAGGGCCATCTGGGACAAGCCCAGCCACCCAGATCAGACCACTCTTTTCCCTTGATTACCTGCAGTGCCTAAGCCTGTGGCCAAGTCTCACTGTCACTTCCTTTTCCAAACACGTGCTCACTACCAAACAGACACAGACCCCAAAGGGCAGGAATTGGGTCTTCCTTCTGTGATATCTTAGTGTCGACCACCAGGCTGCATCCTTAGTTGGCGGACAAGTCAACAAAATGTGATGGGACAAACTGCAGTAATCAATAACAAATTCTCTTTGCAAGTGAGTGATCTGAATACCAGTTCTTTCCTCCTGAAGGCTCAGCATCAGTCAATATCACCCTAACGTTGATGAGAAAAGCTCTGCCTGTGCTCCAGACACCAAGGGCCACCGAGAAAGACTAAAAGGCTTTGAGGTTTTCACTTCTAAGACGAGGAGCATTTAGGGCCAATTTTTGCTATGCATTTGTTGTACCTCAGCAACTTTCCTAATGGGTAGAGTAGCATTATGAGTCCAAATGAAAGACAGGAAACCCAAAGACGGACTGGGAGGAGCCCTACCTCACTAGAGGAAATGGAAAAGAAAAGAAAGACCTCCTGAGCTCAACAGACAGAGACAAGAACGTTTCCCGGGAAGAGGTCAAGGTGGGAAGCAGGCCAAAGTATTGAGCCCTCACTGTGTTAGAATGATCAAGGTCCAGAACAATCCAGAATAAGTACGGCCGATGGCACTCCCTCCCAGTTTTTCCTCGGAAAACACCATGAGGTAACAAAATGATGAGTTACTCACAGTCCTGTGATGACCTATGGCGAAAGGTAAACCGAAGATGACTGCGGTTAACGTCCTCAATGGGGATGGCTACCTTCAAGAATCAAAAAAAGAACGTATAAGCGCCAACATCATCTGGCATCAACAGCTTTATTCAGCCGGAGAGGTCAGGTACAACCGTAAACGTTTCTACACTGCAGTGGTGAAAATACTACAGCTCTAGCCCCCTGTATAATTTTTTCAAAGGCAAAATACCTTCTGAACATTTAAACAAGATAATATTGTAAAGGATGCCAAGCCGGCTCGGAGAGACAGCTGGATTTTTTTTCCTAAATGTTCTGATCCTTACTGTTAAGATTCTATTTTTAAGCCGGGCTCGGTGGCTCAGCCTGTAATCCTGCGCCTTTGGGAGGTTGAGGTGAGTGGATTGCCTGAGCCCACGGGTTCGAGACCCGCCCGGGCGGCAAGACCTCATCTCTACAATAAATCAAAAAATCAGCCGGGCGTGGTAGTGCATGCCTGTAATTCCGGCTACTTGGAAGGCTGAGGCGGAAGGATCGCCGGAGGCCAGCAGATGGAGGATGCGGTGGCCGGGAGCGGCCACTGCACTCCAGTATGGGCGACAGAGTGAGACTCCAACTCAAAAAAAAAAAAAAAAAAAAAAAAAGATTCTATTTTTAAAAGTCGCCTAATACGGAGGTGTCTATATTCCCCCGGCAGCTGCAGTGACCTGCCTGCGGCTGCAGGAAGAAAGCTTTCTCGTTGTCACATTACACCAAAAGAAAAAAAAAGATCTAATACATGCTGCCTGTAAGCAAAGCCTGTCCCTCATTCTCACATCTAACATCTGTATTCCAGAGCCAAACCCTGGCCGGGCTTTCAAATACGCAAGCTCTTGGTGGCAAGCTGCTGTTGAGTACGGCAGGGTGACCATGGAGCTGTGAAATGCATGAAAATGCACGTGTCAGGTCCGGCACCCCAGCCACAGCCTCCACGTACTGCCATCTCGATTTTTTTCTGTTTAGGGTAAAGACAGAACGCCCCACATAAAACAGACCTAGGAAGAGAAAGACAATAGCGATCTTAAAAAGCTCTGTCGTTTGTCTCCATGAAAGTCCTATTTTTATGTCCAAAAGAAGATGAGAGTAAATGTATTCCAAGAAATGCCAGCGTGGTTCCCTAGCAACCTTGAATGACTTTGTTGGAAGAGCGACTTTGCCTACCTAGAGCCGTCCCTGGGGTGGGGGGTGGAGGGTAAGGTAGGGATTTCCTTGGGATACAAATGAGCATTTCATAATGAACCCCATGTGATAAAATGACCATGTAAATAATACCTTAACGGTCTCAAACCAGCGTGGCTGTTTTACTTGGTAGTAAATCACGGATTTGTACTCTGAAATCGCTTCATCACCAGCACCCGGGAAAATCACATGCTTTAAAAGAAGGCATAAAGAGTTCACATAAGACCTCATAGAGCTTGACACGGCATACATCTCCCACTATGTGCATGCACTAGGAGGACAGACATACTCCAGGAATGTCAATAAACACCACCCCAAATGGAATGTGTTTCCGGCGAGGGAAGGACAGATTTATCTGAAGTCGATGGCGAGCCTGAGACCGGTTTTCACACATTTAAGACCTTCAGGGTTATGAGACATGGAGACCAATACTGTCTTCCATCCCTCATACCCTTACCCCTAGTAACTTTAATATTAGGATCTGCAGGACGTTGCCTGATTCATTCCATAGGTCTAAAAAAAAGGGTTGTAGACTAAAAGGAGGTGATAACCCTCTCCCCTCCCCTTCTCCCAACCATGAACACTGTCTACTCAATTCCCATGGAAGCCATACTGGTAAAACACAGTGGCAGAGCAATGCCACCCAGGTTTCCAGAGAGACTGGGAAGGCAGTGATGCTGGATCAGGCCCATCCAGACAGAAAGGGTGCCACCCTCCTCTTGGCACAGCTGAGCTTCAGGTACAAGCCAAGGCGCCGCTCTCAACTCCATGGGCCCAGGAAAGCCCAGCCCTCTAGCCATGGTCCAAAGAGGCAGTTCACAGGGACACTGGCTCTAGGTTGGCCTCTGGTCATGAGAGGAGGCCATTGCATCTGAGCACCGCCCAAGTGGGCTCCATGGGCTACTGTGACCATGGAAGCAGGTCTTGGTTACCACCTGGCGGAGCACAAGGTAAGAGCTCAGGTGTAGTGGGCAGAAGCCCAGATTCAAACCCCAGTTCTACCTCTCACTAGCTCTCTGCCCCTGAGAAACATGGCTGATGTCTCAGGGCTCAGTTTCCCCATTTCTCAAAGGGTGATAACAACGGCATCTGTACTTCTAGTATGATAACTAGACCTTTGAGTCTTGGGTTGATGGCAAATGAGACTCCATGATAGAGCTGGGCAGAGAAGGCGGTCAAGACCACAGAGATTCCTGAGACAGGCCAGCTAGTAGGAGCCAGGGGATCCCAAGCCCAGTGAGGCAAGCAGGAGAGAGGAAGGCAAGAGCTAACACCCATCCAGGATAAAAGGATCCCAAGGCCCCATCTGTGATGGTCTGTATTCTGTAGCAGAGCCAAGGTGAACACTTGGAAAATAAAATGGAAACACTAAAGATAAACCCTTGCGATTATCAATACCTCCAGTCGTTTTCCATCTTCATCATAAACAGACACTGTCACCTCAACGTTCTTTGCCGTTGTCTTGCTTCCTTTATCAAAATCTCCTTGAACTAATGTTACATAGATATCGTTTCGAACATCGCCTGGGAGGAGAAAAATCATGACTTTAAACCCAATCTGTTACTCAATAGTGTAATCATGAATTCTGTAAGACTGTCTAAGGCAGAATATGACAAATACTGCATTAGATGATTATGAAACGTTTTCAACAAAAGAGTCTCAGCCTTTAAATGCACGACAAAAGCAATTTCCATCATCAAAAAAACTTGCCAGAAAGTGAAAAACTCTCAAAGCCTATAATGATCTGCTTGGTTCTCACCTGCTTGGTTCTCACCCTCAAACCCTCTGGGAACGGCCAGTGCCCAAAGAGGCTCCAATGCCGCTGGGGCTCTGCCATGGTCTACCCCTGCCCTCAGCATGCCCAGTCCATTGTGAGCAACGCCATCATCCTGTGACAGACTGCTGGCTAGAGTCACCTGGGTCCTCAGTAGCCAAGGCATACCACAGCATCGACTGGCACACCCAGCTGACAACTGGCAACGCTGGCCTCTTGGGTTTTCTTCTAAAAAGCATGATTCCAAGAGAGGAACCAGAGGAACTAAAAACAGGTCAAGAATGAGGACCACAGCCTAGGATCAAGGCGGAAGGATGGATCTAGAAAGGATCTGCAGGAAGTTGCCTAATTCATTCCTCTGGAGGCAGCTGTCAGGATTCCGAATTGGAAATCACAAAGAGAAGAAGACCAACCAAACAGGTCTGTGCATTTTCGAGTGCAACGGGCTTTCAATTGTGTGGGGGGGAAAAATACAAGCAATGAGCTCAAGATTCCTCTTCCCACCAGGAACACACGAAGCCCCTGGTAATGGCCCAACTGGGAAAACCTCACAAGCTTCATTAGCAACATAATTTAGAGGAAGCCGCGCTCCCCATGACTGCTGCTCTGCTTCCTGTCTGGGTACCTCCCCTGCCCTGGCCACCTGCTCTTCCACAGGAGCTGAGGACCAAGATGTCAAGAGAGGCAAATGCCCCCTCTGGCTGAAGATCCAGGATCCCTTAAGGGAAAAGAAATCAACCCCTGCCCTGGCTTTCTTGCTTTTGCCTTTTTTTCCCTGCTCGATTTTGGCTTTTAATGTATCCAACTATTAACTTAAACTTTCATTTAAAAGTCATTATTATAAGAATCCCAGCGGGTTGCTACCATAGCCACAATAGCTACAAGGGAAGAAAGTGTAGCTACAGTCACTGATGCTGACCAAGAGAAAAGTTAAGAACCCTGGATCACAAGCCTGGGGGAAGCAAGCACGGCTGTCCATCCAAGACCTTTCACTCATTAGTTGTGTGACCTTGAACAGTCACTTAACCACCCAGGTCACCCACCACTCAACAGCCTTATCCATAAGGCAGGCAAAGGCTGTATGATCTCTAAGCCTGAAAATTCTCGACATAAAAACCCTCACCAAAAAGGGCTACACCCGCTTCACAAAGGCCTCCCCAGCCAGAGAACTAACATGGGCTGAGGGTAGTAAGGTGATTAAGCCCCACAGCCTCATTTCCAAGCTCACCTAGACTGCAATACCCCAGGGCCATCCCAGAAGCAGGGCCTCATTTACAGTAGGTAAACGACACAAATGGACATTCACAAAAGGCCCTCAGCAAATGCCTCCCCAGGTAACAGAATATTTTGGGACTCTTGCCTCCTTTCCAATGTGATGGGAAACTCTGCTTATCCTGCCTAGATCCTTCAAGACTCCAGAATTCCAGTGGATCATGAGAAGTCACAAGGGTGACATAGGCTCTTCCACTGTCTAAAGAAGCTAACGAGATGGAGTAATGCACAGATGCCGCTGGACTGAAGGTGGGGAGTCTCACTGATAACCGTCCATGCTGTCTCTTCTACCTGGTCATATAACCACTGGAGAAGGTGGATGGCTCACCTACACTACAATCCCTTCCTATGAGACCCTGCCCCGGGATTTAGCACAAGGAACCTGCCAGAACAATGGTCGGCTATATGGTTTCCCCATGAATCAATCATGAGATGAGATGATCTAAGAGCTTAGACTTACTTTTTAAGTCTATCAATTATAAAGGCAGTGTTACCAGCAGGAACTGGCAGTTTCCTGGGGTTTCCCTCAGAACATGAAGACATTCTAAGGATGCCAAGATAAATACATATTGTCGGTGACTTCATCCTAATTTACAGATGTTCGTTTCATATCCAAATGCAAACTGTAAGTACATAAATTAGTCTACTTCCATTAATAAATCTAAACTAATCTGCTGCATGTAGACACACACAAGCAACCACTTCATAATGTGCTAAATGTCATGTTTTTTCCTGTACAGGTAAGCCTGTTATTCTGTCTAACCCAATTAGATGTCTTTCATATAAATTGACCAGAAAGAGGAGTTAATCACCCGCAACAGCCCTGAAATGCAAAAAGAGTAGAAAGAACATGTCCCAAAGTTGAACTAAAACAAGCCAAGCAGTAACTCTTACAGCATACACACTGAGTAGCCGGTTCTACACCGAGTATACAGCAGAAACCTTTCAAAGGAGGTCACATGGAATTGTCAAACACGGGGCAGTTTGTCCCCACTTCCTCTGCTCATTAGCTGAGTGACTTTAGGCTACAGTTTAATCTTGACAAGAATTAGTTCAATACCAGTTTGTAGATTTCCAAGATTCTCATGTGGATCAAATTGGATTATTAACGTTAATACTTGCAAACTAAAAAGTATCGCACAGATAAAAAGGATAAATATTAACATGCTCCCCAAGATCTCTTGAGGAGCAAATCAGGCTATTCATGTGAATGCTATCTGGAAATTAGAAATGATTATATAAGAGATTGATGCTAACATGGAACCCTATTATGGGTGTAGCCAGCTTAAAGTCACAAGACTAGCTGGAGCAATACCAGGACAAGAAATAACATCAACTGAGCAGGCCTCAAGTATAAGCACACCCATGCACACTACATCCAGTCCTACCACGGGTCCCACGGTGGGCTTCATTTCCTGCAGCTCACTTTCCAATCCTTCTTCCTGCTCAAATGTCCACCCAGACATCTGTTGGGTGTCCACACCTCCCTCACACAACCCTTGCAGTTAGAAAACCTGATCTCTCCAGGGGACCAGGTGGCGAGGTACATGTACCACTATTGGGGTCACCACCCCTGACCACTGGTGTCATGCACAACCACACTGGCACTTACATATCACCCATCACAGGCTAAGCCCTCTTCCTGCCAGAGTTCGTATGTGTTGCTGGCCACATCACTCTCCGTGGCCAGCTCAGATGCCCTAAATGAGTCCGTTCTTACCAGGCATGATTATCTCCGGAAACCCTGTTTTCCGAGCCACGGCTGTGGTCCTGTCCACTAAATGAGGAAACTCCTTTCGAATCTGATGGATATCTCCAGGAAGCAATTTCAACGTTACCCACAAACCTAGAAGAACAAGGGATGTTGTTAGTCATGTTTTATCCTATATATTTTCCGAAGTTTTCATGAAACCAATTTCAGTGAGTGAGACTTTTAATTCACAATTTAACATCTTGAAAGCAAACACAGGTATATGAAAAAGAAAGGAGCTGGGTAAGGTGCCTAGCACGGGGACTGCTTGCATCTGACTAACTGGGACACCAGCCCTGCCCTGGCATGACTTGTGGGCAGGTGAGTACACATCAGCAGCTGCCGTCCACTCACTGATCACCAAGGACCATGTCTCTCTTGAGTTGGCAAACATTTAAGATATCAGCAGACAGCATTTTTCTGGAAGCGGGCTCAAAAAACCATCATTTTTCAGTCTCCCAGGAAGGATGGCAGCAGGAAAGGACTTAGGAGGTGATTTCAGCTTCAGGAACCCTCCGAAGTCTCAAGTAGTTAAGCGGCATCGCACAACCCAGGTGAGCAGTGGAGCACCAGGGCCACAAGCTGGCCAGTCCACCCAGTATGGGACAGGAGTAGCCCACTGAAGCCCAGTGCATCTGTGCGTCAATGTCACAGCAAAGGAGGTTAATAAATGCAATGGCCGCCCTCAGTTCTTTCCTCCAAGGAGGAAAATAGAAACTTTCAAACTCTCTAAGTCAAGATGCCCAGGGCATCCTGGAGAACATGGTGAACTTTCCAAGGCCTGGAGGTGAGAATGTGTGCCCCGGGCTCTTCCTACCTGCAAGGCTGATGGAGAACTGTATTTGGTACAGTTCTAAGCAGCAAGCAAACGAGAGACAGCAATAAGAGAGAATAGACACTTGCAACAAATCAAAGCCAGGAGACAAGCAGTGGCTGGGCTCTTCCGTCCTTTCCCCCGGGCTGGAAGGGAGCTGGGGCACCGTTGCTGGCACACCAGGGCACTGCATCCCTGAGGCCTCGTGGGACTGGCCTGCTTTTCCCTATGACTCAGCTCTGTGAAGCCTCATCTGCCCATGAGAACATCAGAGCATCAGTCCTCATTTACACTACTAGCTTATATGTCTGTGTGTGTGTGTGTGTGTGTGTGTGTGTGTGTGTGTGTGTGTGCGTGCATGTGCGTGCGCGCGCCTGTGTACGTATATCTGGATCTGTGTGTTTCTGTGTCTGTCTGTGTCTATATCTGTATGTGTAGCTGGGTCTGTGTGTGTATCTGTATCTATGTGTGTGTCTGTATGTGGTGTATGTGTCTTTATGTATGTGTGTGTCTATGTGTGTGTGTGTCTATACCTATGTGTGTCTGTATGTGGTGTATGTGCTTGTGTCTATGTGTAACTGTTTCTGTATGTCTGTATGTCAGTATGTGTGTGAGTCTATGACTGTGTTGCCATGTCTGTCTATGTCTGTGCTATGTGTGTCTGTGTCTATGTGTCAGTATCTGCAGGTGTGGCTGTATGGGTGTATGTGTATGTCTGTGTGTGTGTCTGTGTGCCTGTATCTGTGTGTGTACCTGTGTTTGTATGCAATGTATGTGTCTGTGCATGTATCTACGTGTAACTGTGCCTGCAGCTGTGTGTACATCTGTATCTGTGTGTATGTATGGCTATTCCCTCTCCAGATGCTTCCAGAGAGCAGAGGCCAATCGTCCATCACTGCCCAGCTTAGCACCCTGCACTTGGTAGAAGAAAAATGAGACAATCACAGGCCTAGTCCTCAAGCAACTTGCCTTCTAAGGAGCACTGGAGAATGACTTAGGGTATACGTGAGTAACGTCACTTAAAGCTGCTCCTGCCAGGAGCGGCTCTGCTCCATTCAACCCCACACCTCACACCCCTGTCCTCTCACTACCCACACCTATACCACTGTCCCGGAAACAGCTTTCTCCTTTGCACAGATTGACATTACTTGGGGGTGAGAAAGTCAAAGTCGCTGATGTTGTTTTGTTCCTTGTCAGTGGGTGAAGCCCCCTAACCTCTTGTCATCTGGTGAGCCTGTCTGATCTATTCAAAAGCATGCAATGAGCACCTACTACGTGCCAGGCATGCGCCCGGCACTACAGACACAGGCAGACACTCATTGTCTCCCCTGTAGGGGGGTTAGCTTCCATTTTGAGGGTCAAACACTAACTCCAAGGTCAGAGAAATAGGCAACTACAAAGAATTCTCATGGGAAAATTCCCAAGCATGTTGCAAGGGCATCCCCGAGTCTGCAATCTCAAGAGTCACAGAGGCGCCTCTTGGAAGGGATGTCAGGCCTGAGGTCTGCAGGATCCAAGGGCATTGCAAGCCTGTGCCCAGCCCAGTGGTTGGAGCCCTAGGATGCAGCAGGAAGGGAGGGCGAGAAGGCTGGGTAATGAGTAGGAATGTATAGGAAAGAGCAAGAGACCACTGCAGGAGCCCAGCTGATTGCCAGCAGGACTTGGACTCAACTATGGGGAAGGAGAGACCAGTGGGGAGATCAAATCGGCAGAATCAGGAGAAGCAGAGGTGGAAGGAGAGGCAGCTCCCAGAGAGGGTGTCCACTGCAAGCACAACCCCTAGCAGGTGCTGGGGTACCATTTCCTCAAAGGGGCAACCCTGATCTAGGTGCAGGATTTAGAGCTCACACAGGGAAAGAGAAGCCAGAGATAACAGGAGAAACTAAGAAGGGGTGGCATCCATACGGCCCATGGCACCAAATGCAGCACAAAGGAAGGGGAGGGTCTACACTGAGCATGCAGAACGCCACCAAGGACCTCAACAAGAAGGCTTCTGGTAGGAGAGGAGGGGCAGATGTCAGAAGAAGGATGAAGACTAAGAGAGTCAACATACAGAGACAGGTGCATTGCTTAGGGTACAACTGTTTTTTGGTGTTTCTTCTTCTTTCCTTCCTTTCTATATGTTTTCTCTTTGGGGGGAGATATGAAATTCCAGATTATGGGAGGGAGAGTTTGAAGAAGGTCTATTCTAACCACTACAAGGAAGTCCCTAAAAAAGTATCACGGGATGGCGCCCAATCAGGGGCACGAGTACTATTACTCAGGATGTGTACTTGACGAGGCAGCTGACCAAAAAAGACAAGTGGGAGCTAAGCCCTGTCTACACTTTGCTCACAAGCCACGTGCCCCGGCACTGACAGCATCTCACCACTCACCCAGTTGATGAGGCCCCTTTTTCCAACTCACACAAAAGCACCATGAGTTAGCAGCATCTCTGGACCTGAAGAACAGGCAAGCAGATGGACCCTCAAAGGGCCAGGCACTTCCTCCCCTGAACCCATGGCTCTATCCTCCACTAGAGCAAACCAAGTCAAGAAAACACTCACACGGGTGCCCAGGGAATGAGCACTGTGGCCACCATGGAGTTGGTCTCCACAAGAATGCCAGGATGCAGCTAAGGGGTTCTCCAATCTCAGGGGTCTGAGCCCTAAGCCTCCCGGGAGAGCAAATGGCCACAAAACAAATCGAACGGAAAGACACCCACTGACAGATTGTTAAGATGTGGTGAGGTCGTTCTTTATACCTATTTAGAGAACTAAAAGAAATGAGAACGGACCATTTAATAACATGATTAGAAACCTTGTGTTTCAGACATCTTTTATTTCTCACAAATACCAGCTCGCTCAACTAGCATAGTTCATAAACTAGTACATTAGTGACACAATTAAATTTATTACAACACAATTTAAACATGGAGATTAAATGTTCCCGATTATGTTGTGTTTAAAACACTTCTCTCAGTGGAGAAAATGAGGCCAATTTTTGCCAAAGAAAAAGTGCATTTTGTGTTGGCATTTGCTTAACCAGAATAACTGAAAACAAAAGGAATTAGCATACATTGTATCTCAAACAATAGAAGCAGATGTCTGGGGGTGTTTGTGGATTCACTGTCCACATAAAACACCCAACACCTCTGGCTCAGGGATCAGAATAATTTGGATTTCATATTAAGGATTTTGTCGAATGTGACAAGGAAACACGTTGGTGCAAACCAAAAAAAAAAGCCGAGGCCAAGGAATGAGCTCAGAAGGGACAGAAGTGGAGTATGAACAGATGACGGTTAAAAAAAAAAATCACTGTTGTTCATGAAGATTAGTATTTCCTACACGTGCCTCCCACTTCCTGGCCTTGACCGAAACTTGACAGACAAGCATCACGTCAAGCCTGGATTACCAGAGACCAAAACACAGGTGGTCCCGTGGGCAATGCCCTGCAGACTTGGCAGCCAACTCTGCTGAACTTGCTGGGCTACATCTCTGACCTCTCCCTGGGATGACCTGAATTCTACCCAAGAGTAAGACCCGGAGAAGTGTTCAGGTTCAAGCTAGTCATTTGCCCATGGGCATTTTGATTCAGAAAGGCACCTGTGACCCCCTTGAAAAAACTATCCATGTTCTTGTCCCTCAGTTCTCACTAGGACCCAAACATGCCCGTTCTTCTCAGGAGTTCAGGCAACCAGGCCTCCTGGCATCGGCCCATCACTCGCCAGCTACATAGATCTTGGCCAAACACCAGTGAGATTGGCAGAGGCAAGCTTCGGGTCCCCCTCTTTCCAAGTGAGTTTCTGCTGGCTTGACACCAAACTCCACTCTCCCTGTCTGACTCTGTAATAAAAGTTTATCAAAACTCTGATGACTCTGCAAGAGAAACTGGAGATCCGAGGGGAGCCCTAGCTCCAAGGGCGGAGGGATCAGCCAGCAACCTTCATGCTCCCAGCCTGAGTGCGACTCCAATCCAAACAGCCCTAATTGGACCTCCCTGTGGTTTCCAATTAAAGTGCAAATTGGAAGGGCTGTTAATTTATAAGAGGATAAGGTCCTGGGTCAGCTTAAAATTGCTCTGTAGGCAGAGGCCACGTTTCATTAACATTCTGGGTTGGGGTTTTTGTTCTGCTACTGTTTTCCAGGAAGGGAGGCCATTCACCATTCACACTAGAAGAAACACGAAGGGGCCCGCAGAGCCCTAGGAGGGCTCATTCCCCAGAACATTCTTCAGACTCAATTCACACTCTCAGTTAGAACACCGGAAAATGAACCAGGGTAACTGTTTTCTAAAAGTTTAGCAACAAGGTCACTGGACAAGGAAGCAGGACTATTCACCCAAGCTCAACTGAGTCTACGGCCAGTCTGCATGGATCAAGGACTGAGACAGACCAGTGACGTTCTGAAGGTGACTTCCCCTCGGGCTGGAGGCGGGGCCTCGGTCACAGTTGTTTGCTGGCAGCTCTCCTGGCCAGCCAAGTGCCAACTGTCACCAGCCCGGGGTGATTGATTCATTACTTCTGTCAGCAGAAGGTCAGCTGCTCTGAAACATGTCAGTGTGGGATTCAAAACAATGAGTGTGAGATGGGGGGTGGGGGAGAGAAATCACTCGGATGACGGAGCTCCAGAGGAATGAGTCCGCATGAAACGAAGCCACTTTCTCAAGGGGGACCAGAGAGGGAGCTCCAGGTAACAAAGGGGTATCTATCACTGGCTCTCAGCAACGCTCACAGGCTGATCAGCAAGAAAATCTGCAGGTGCTGTACACCAGGGACAAACATTACACACCTTCTCCAACACTCTTGGGGACAAACATTAACCACCCAGCCTCAGGATCACCATCCAGCGAACATGCAAACCAGACCGCGCATGCAAGGTCCATGCAGGTAGACATGGGTAGAAGCAAAACAGTAGAATACATACCCTGCCCCTTGTGGTTAACTTCTTTGGCAGCGATGACTTTGTTTATAACAGTCTGTAGGAAGTCATTCTCCCCTGCCACCCTGGGTGAAAAACGGGATGACATGTTCAGCGGCTTGTGTCGAATGGCGTCGTCCAACGCGAGCCTGGAGGGCACGGGACACCCAAGACCACAGGAGACAAAGGAGCACAGAGACCCATAGGTCACGGTAACAAGGGAACACAAGAGACCATCGTCACCGAGTGCGAGAGAGAGGCATCATGAGCCAACGCACGACAAAGGACAGGAGAGATGACAAAAGAAACAGGAAAAAGCATTGATCAGGAAAAGGCTCAACCACGAGAGAGAAGCAGAGCCAACGAGGGCAACCCTCTCCCCAGGAAATCAACGTGCACTGGGCCTGTACACCATGTCTACCAGGCCGTTTTTGGTGGTGGGGGGGGTTGTTTTAAAAGGAGCCTGTCTGAAAGTAACGTGGTTGAAAGGCATTTAATCCCAAAGAATGTTTATGGCCATTTCTCTAGTTTCAATAATTCTGAACACAGTACAGGTCAGCAGGCAGGCGGTCTGAAGGAAAAAGCAAAAACAAAGTAAAAAAAAAAAAAAAAATCCCTAAAACCTAATTGCTTGGAGAACCTTCCTACTCCATCCAACCGTGGACCCAATAGAGCCTAAAATGATTACATGTGAGAAAAATAGTGTAGTCTTGGGAGAACATAACTACCAACTATCATGTGTGAAAAGTTAAATTATGACACAGTTATGAATGCAAACCAGCAACATATTCAGGGCACATGAACCAGGAGCCTTCCGGAGATGCTAAGTTATACAGAGTGAATATAAACAGGTAACATGTGCAAACAGAAATACCATGTAGCACAACGGAGCACAATATGAAGTGAGCAAAAAAAAATATAGAGCATGTTCATAATGTTGAAAATCAATTCTGGAAACGAGGACAGTGTTATCCATCACTTGAGCCACATTACTCTAGGGAGCTGAGGACTGTTTTAATTTACTTCACCAAGTTAAAAAAGACAGAGAGGAGAGAGAGAGAGAGAGAGAGAGAGAAGAGAGATGTGCACTGAGCTTCCTTCCCTAAAAACAACCCTGTGAGATAATAAATCAGTTTTAATGGAGCAAAAAAACGGTTTCATTAGCATGACATTTCCCAAAGAACTGGTTTCATTGCTTATTTGGCTATTAAAATCATGCTGTTCTTTTGTTTCTAACACTGCAAATATCAATCTGTATATTAGTCTTCTTTCAGTGGAACACAGAGTCACAAATTACAAAAGAGTTAAGCATGTAAATTTTTTCTAAGTGGATGTTTCAGTACAACATAGAAAAGACAGCAACCATGTTCGGGCCATCTCAGCATCAGGATCAAGCTAACATGTCCCACAAAAACCAGCGAATCTAAAATGAATAGCCTCCCTACCTTTACAAACCATGCCTGAAGTTCTTATTCACTGATTTTCACAGAGGACGCCAGCAGACAACAGGTAGTTTTAACTGAGTAGTACATCCGGGCATCAAGAGACTCTGAAGTCTAATATATAATACATCATTCAAAACAGTAGGGGGCTACATTACTTTTCATGGGGTAAAGAAGGAACTGCAGATGATAATTTTGCCAAGGTGTATTTTATTTATGGCCTCAATATCTGCCCATGTTCCAAGATCAGTATACTCCCCTTGTTTGCTAGGGAAACTTCCAGATTTCAGGAACTGTGTTCCCTTTATAAACTCTCTTCACTAGGTGGGATTCCAAAGCAATATTATCCAACAGAACTGTTTACAATGATGAAAACCATCTGTGTTTTGCACTGTCCAGTGTTGTAGCCACTAACCTCACGTGGCACTGAACCCTTGACATGGCACTAATGGGACTGAAGAACTAAATTTTATTTTTTTTTATTTCGATACCGTTATCTATGTTTAATTATTTTAAATAGCCACCTGGGGCTAGTGGTTGCCTCATTGCCCAGAAGAGTAAACCTAAAGCATTTAAACCACAAGAGACGTTTGCTTCCAGTTGTGCGTGGTGAAGTACATATAACTCGATCTTGACTTCAAGCTAGAGAAGGCAGAGTGCTTGGTTAGCCTCACATCAAGAAAATTGTAAAATCTTCTACTGAGCTATACAAGAAGTCTCAGGATGCTATCTGACCAGATCACCTGCCCACACAAAAAAAGTCATACTCTTCCCATTTTAACCAAGTGGTGCTCAAGTCCCAGGCTGAGTGGGGTGACCTGCCATGAAGGATTTGTGAGGCACAGGAAAGCCAACCTCCCATCTCCTGTCACCTCAAAACAGGGCTCCTACAGTCATCTGGTCATCACCAGCCTCTTAGACCCCCTCAGCCAACACCTGAAAACAATGTAAAACGTCTAAAATAAAACCATATTTTATGAAAAGATTCTAAGAGTGTCTTGGTTTGTAAAAACACAATTTAACATTTCTAAAATCATATTTGTGTCAAGCCTGAAATCACTTAAGTCAAAACAAAAATGAAGAAAAAAGAGGGAATGCAGAGCACTAAGACGGGTCGCTTCGACTCGCTCCGCCATTTATTCTTCTAAGATTTCGCCCCCCCACCCCCCACCCCAGAAGCTGTCTCTTGCAATTAACCTCACCCACTCAGACTCTTCTTTCTTTCTCTCCACCCTGTCCGAGCAGTAGGAGTGCCCTTGAGGTGCCAAAGATCATTATCTAGGTGGCCTCTTGCTTCCATCACCAGGGGAAAATAAACACCAATTCCTTCAACCTTTTCCATGGGCTCCACCTTCAAATAAGCTCATCCATTTAATGAATCTCCTCCAGGAGATTTCACAGCCTCCGAGACTCTCTAAAGAGTTTAGGTCAGAACCAGACAAAGCCTTCAAAATGAAGAGCACAGATACCGTCCACTCTAAGCAAACACCGACACGGAAGAATCAGCAGCGTGATGATATGCTTTAAAGTATTATTTCTCGCCTTACAAAAGAATTCATCGTTATTTTCTCTGCCTTTCTATTTTAAAAATAGCAACCTCCTGTGATGAATCTAGAAGTATTGTGTTTTGAAAATGTGCATAGCTACTAGAATAAATCAATTATGGAAAGAAGCATGCATGCTCAGAGCAGAGCTATAATTCTGGGCCTTGTACATGATAAGGCAATTCAGTGATCATATGTAAAATCTCCTTCCAGGACCATAAACAAACTTTCACCCAGGATTCTCATGTGCTACAGCAGTGACCAAACAGACTTTTTCTCGATGATAAAATAATCGGTCCCTACTTGTGCTTAACCGATCGATTTAATTACGAAGATAATGATTGCAAACCTATATTTTCCACGTTCTATCTGGTTAAGTACTTGAATTGCTCCATACTTACGGCTGAAAGGGAATGAAATGCTGTTTATCTTCATCATCTACTTTTCCATTTATTATATCTGTTACATCCATCACTGGAGACAAAAAAAAAAAAAAAAAAAAAAAGAACAGAGATTGTTTTGCTTAAATGCTATAATCATACAAAACAAACAAACAAAGGAACATCCGAATATCTTCTGGCAAACAACAGCAGAAACTGTATGATGAAATCTTCTTATATTCAAGTCTAAATTATTTCCATGCTTGGAAGACAAATTAAGTTGCTGCAAAATGCTGACGCAGAAGAGAAGAGTTCCCTTTAATAATTTCCTTTAATATGACCCAACTGTCACCCTCGTGGAGTTACCCTAACAGCCAGCACTGCCCTGAATCCAAATAATTGCATTCCCCCAAATAACAAAACAAACAAGCAGCTGCAATTTACCAAGAGCATATCACGAGCTGGGTGTCATGGATGCTATCTCAACGGGACACTTTAAGGCGAGTCCTCAGTCACCTACTGTACGACTAAAGAAACTGAGACTCAAAGACAGGAATAAACGAGCACGCCCAAAGTCACATAGCTAGAAAGTCTCCAGTGCCCAAGCTCTTTCAATCTTATTAAACTGCCGTAACAGACACATCTCCCTGGGTAGTCCAGGCTTGCTAACATCACAGAAAAGGCTTACATCCTTTGTGCTATTTCTGTGTTAAGAGAAAAGAGATCCCCTGACAGGATTCCGAGGTAAACCCAGAGGCACTTTCTACCTCCCAAACAAAATTCCTTTTGCCCTTAGGCAGGACTGACAAAGCAAGAAAATTCAAGAATGACCCCAGACGGCACCGGGCACTCTCTCTGCCCCTGTCATTGGTCAGTCACCACACTTGACTAAAGAAAACAGGAGAACATGCTGCGTTTATTTTCTTCCCATGAGCTCTTCGCTAGTGACTGTAATCATAAACTGAAAATGCGGGTTGGACATGGGAGTTCACACCTGTGATCCCAACGCTTTGAAAGGCCGAGAAGGAAGGGCAGCTTGAGCCTAGGAGTTCAAAGCCGGCCTGGGCAACATAGTGAGACCTTGTCTCTACAAAAAAAAATTAGCCGAGTGTGGTGGTCTGTGCCTGCAATCCCAGCTACCTAGGAGGCTGAAGTGGAAGGATCACCCGAGCCCAGGAGATCAAAGCTGTGATGAGCTCTGATGGCACCAATGAACTTCAGCCCGGGTGACCAGAGTGAGACCCTGTCTCCAATTTTAAAAAGAAAGAAAAAAGTGGACAATTTTCACTTCTACGCCCACCCCGTTAAAAAGGGGGAGGGATTTCCAGAACCAGAAAAAGCAGCATTCTCACCTCCTGCTTGGTTTGGTAGAGCCCCATGGGTCCACACAGCGTGTCCTAAGGGAAAACACCCACACCCCCTCCACTGAAGCAAGGGGACTCACTGAGCAAGGGGCCTACAAATGGGTCTGGAGATACAGGTTAAAGAATCCTCATAAACTAAAGCATCAAATGATGGCTGCTCAGAAGAGAAATGAGCCTGCACTCAGGCCTTCACCTGTGGAAGTCTTGGAGGCTACTAATCAACACTCAATCGCAACATCTGCCTGTTGTGAAAATGCCCTTTCACTCAAGACCCCGTTCTTACCACCAGTTCAGCATCATTAACTAAAGCTCATTTAGGCCACAGCCCACTGAAGGCCAGGCTATAAGTCAGAACAAAACGTTAGTCTAAACCTAGCACTCTAGCCTTTGCATGCCAGTCCGCCTTGGGTGGCCTTCCCGTGTGCTTGGCAGGCCACTTTGTCAATCCATGGGACTCATCTCCCCAGCTCATCGGGAGACTCCCTTGCCAAATTCCCAGTGCCCAGCCCTGGGACACAGCAGGAGCTCAGTAACTGTGTGTAGGATGGAGGTAAGTAAGCAAAAAGTCTGAGCACCCATATGTGGGAAACAGCCGGGGCACTGCTCCTTGACATGCACTCAGGCCCACCCATCCTGAGCCTCGAGGTCACCGTGTCCCCTCCCCCAGAGGACTTTCCTTACTGCTCTTCCACACGCAGGCCCGTGTCGAGGAAGCTCTTCCTGTGGTTTAGACAAGATGTCCCTGGCACCAAAGGAGGAAACAAAGGACTGAGGGGAAACCTCCCCAAACTGACAGCCGGGGTCTTTATGTTCAGGGAAGAGAGACAGCCTGGAGAAGCAAAGAGTCCAGCTGCAGTCGGCACAGCTGTGGGAGGGAGGGAGGACCTGAAAAGCCCCATAAACAAATGGCATCGTGTGGTAGGGAGTGAGGACCTGAAAAGCCCCATCGCGTGGTAGGGAGGGAGGATACACCCTCTGATGCAGCAACTCCAAAGTGGGGATTTTCCTCCACACACAGGCAGCAGGGGATACGTCAAGCTCCAGGCTGCTCGCTGCATCCCTCCTCTACCACTAAGCTGAAGTGGCCTCGGCGCCCAAAAGCAGAGACTGCTGGAACCACAGCGTAGCTAGAGACGGCAGCCACAGAGAAGCTGAATTTTGGGATGAATACAATGAAATGTCCATAATATAAGGTATATAGGTTTTTTAGGAAGATAAAAGGTACACATATGCAATGCAAACATCCTGACTCCTGAACTGCATGTACACCTAAAAATGGTCATGGTGGTGAAACAGAGACTAAGAGACATTTAAAAAAAAAAATCAACCAATAAACAACGTACACGGTATGACCTGATGTCGTTGTAAAAAATTATATACCGATTGACAGTAGTGGAAATCTGCCTGGGGAAGAGCGGGGCACACCTCATCAACAAGAGTGCCAGCACAATGAATATTTGTATACCTAACCCTGAACTGTAACCCACAATTTTAAAATAAAAAAATTTAAAAATAAATAAATAATTATATACCAGAGGAAAAACCATCGCAAAAAACATACTAGAATAACCATGAGGTAGTACCCTGGCTATATGGAATTACAAATGATATATTTAATTATACTCATCTTTTTTCCCATAAGATGTCTACCATTTTCGCAATTTTCTATCAACTTTTACTTTGTAAAAAAGGTGAAGCCAGGCGTGGTGACCTGCGACTGTAGTTCCAGCTACTTGGAAGGTTGAGGCGGAAGGATCGCCCGAGACCAGCAGGTGGAGGCTGCAGTGGCCATGAGCATGTCGCTACCCTCCAGCCTGGGCGACAAGAGTGAGACTCCAACTCAAAACAAACAAAAAAAAAAGATGAAGAATAGAAATGTGACATACTGTCTTCAAAAGAAGACTAAGAACTGCAGACTTAAAAGTCCACAAGTGCCTTTCTCACTTTAAGGAACTGAGCTGTGTTGACACAGACACACAGAAGTCATTCTGGAGAAGTCCTCGAAATTAAATTTCCATGTGGAAACTGAAGGTGCATAAGAATGGGTAGAATACTTCTGAACTGTACACCACATCTTTAAAGTTTAAAAAAAAGCAAACAAAAAAAAAAAAAACACGAATGGGTAGAATACGTTTACCAAAAAGTTGATCAACCTCCTCATGTGAGGCATGTCCCTTCTTAATAAGAACATCAAGATTGAAGGAGGTACTGAGTGATTAAAAGGATGTCCTATTAAAGGAAAATGTCCCTCATGTGATGACAGGGGCCAGGCATTTTGATGACAATGGGCGGCTGGTCACTGTGTGGCCCATAGTGACTCACAGATGATATAGGTTAAAGCCGAGATTCTGGTTTAACTAGTCAATAGTGGGGCCTGGACAAGAATATATATTAATAGCTGCCCACATTTTGCTCATACTCAGTTAGGCTTGAGGACTACTGCATTAAAATATGTACCTTTTGTGCCAAAAATTCACACAGTCAGATCACACAAGGAAATGTACTCCCTCTTATCTCTGAGTAATGTTACCAGTAGGAAACTGGAAGCTCCACAAGCTTTCTGTTTGGGTTCTTACTTCTAATTTACGGAAACACACCAGCGAAGCGGGTCTAGGAAAGCTGACCCTTCCAGAGTGAGCACGGAGCCACCACTGCTCAGTGCTCGGGACCCAGCAGTAAGCAGGACACAGTACCCAGAGAGTGCAGTGGGGCCAAGCAAACAGACAATTGCTGGGCAACTGCTTGCTACCCGGAAGGGAGCATAGGGGCCTGGTCAGAGGACCTGGAAACCCAACATTAACAGCTGCAGGTCAAAAATCTTCCAACAGAGAAAAACAAATGTCTCCCAAGCATCTCTAAAGCACTTCACATGGGTTCTTTGCCAACTCCAAAACAGTAGGGAGGCCCCAAGTTCCAGCCAGACAAGGCCATCCTCTAGCAAATCTACAGGCAGAAAAGCAGGCCAGCAAGGTTAGAACTTGGCCCAGGGCACATTGCCAGGAGCCCCAAAAACAGTTGCTACTATCACCCAATACAGGAAAGGAAAAAGCCAGAAACCAGTCCAGATAGGAGGAACCAGGGACCACAGGAAGCATCCATGTGGTCAGCAGAAATCAGAGGACAAGACAGTCATGGCCTTGTGGCCAGGGATCCAAGTTCAGGGACCAGACAGTGGTATTTCAGCCAACACTACACAGGTAGGGCCTCCAGAAACAGGGAACTGTTTAAAGGCTGCCTACTCTGGTCTTTGGTAACTCACAGAGCACTCTAGGACCTGGGAGGCCCAACCTAGCTAAGCACAAGTGAACATGTTATAAACAGTAAAAAGCCACAGTGGTGTCAGTCAGGCCTGTGACAATCACCCTCCCCACCCGTCCCTCCTTAGGACTTGTCATGGAATGTCAAACCAATGAAAGCTGACAAAGTTCCCATTTTAATCAAAAGAGGGCGAAAACTGTCAGCCTTTAGTCTAGATTTCATCTTTGTTTTCAGTATCACTATAATCTATCCCGCAATCAAATAGCCAGAGAAGCTATAGCGTCTGTGTTGGAAAGAGAAGCAACTTGCATGTCTTGTCAAAGATTTCTCTGATCACTCAGTGAATCCTAACACACCTAAAACAGAAATAAAATATTTCCTTAAAAACAATAGAGATGGGAAAGAGAAAAATTCCTGAAAAATTACAGGCATTTCAATTACAATATCAGATTCCACGTAAAAGATGCGACAGGTTCTAACAAACAGAGGAGTAATTTTAAAGTATGTATCAAGTAATAAGGGGTTAAAATGTGAAAGAATTCCTCAGTCCAAGGCTGTGAGGACCTCAGAAAGGCAACCTCTCACCCTCAACATTACACTCACAAATGGAAAAATCACTGGAAATTCCACTGGTTAACTCTACTGGTAAATGGGAGTGAATTGAATTAATGTGCTTCTTTCTCAATAGGCCTATATTAGTATTATTTATTCTTCATGAAGTAGTATATCATTTATTTTAATGATATGAAATAGTTTTTCAAAAATCCAGGTGAAACAGTGAGGATTCTTCAGGCAGTGAAACGAGTCCATATGATAGTGTAATAGTAGCTACATGGCATTATTCGGCAAAACCCATAGAATGGACAATGTCAAGAATGAACACGAAGGTATAAACCATGGACTTCAGGTGATGGTGACAGGTCCATGTGGGTTCATCAATTGTAATAAATGTACCAGCCTGTGGGGGAATACTGACAATGGGGAGGTTGCTAGGGGAGCAGGATATATAGGAACTATTTTCTGATCGGTTTTGTTTGAACCTAAAACTTCTACAGGAACAAAATACATTTAAAAGAGAGAGAAATATAACTCAAGTTCTGAGTTTCTTGGTAGCCAAGGTAAAGAAGGTATTCCATAGCTGTTCATATAAGAAATTTAGTCACATAGCTTTAATCAAGAACTTTTCCCACATGAATATTCATATAAATCCCAAGAAATCAAAGAGAAGTCACAGTGGACTGGGTAATGAAAGGCCATGGCAAAAATAAAATAGTGAGAGAAAAAGTATTCCCAAAGCTATGAAAAATGAGAGCGACTGCCGGGCTCGATGGCTCAGCCTGTAATCCTGCACCTTTGGGAGGCTGAGGTGAGTGGATTGCCTGAGCCCGCGGGTTCAAGACCCGCCTGGGCAGCGAGGCCTCATCTCTACAAGAAATCAAAAAATCAGCCAGGCGTGGTAGCGCACGCCTGTAATTCCGGCTACTTGAAAGGCTGAGGCGGAAGGATTGCCAGAGCCCAGCAGGTCGAGGCTGTGGTGGCCAGGAGTGCCTGGGCAACAGAGTGGGACGCCGACTCAAAAAAAAGAAAAAAAAGAAAATGAGAGTGACATTGAAAGAGGTCAACGAATTCTAATCATTTCCTAGAGACACTTTTCTCTTTCCTCAACAGAGGTTAACTAGTCTTTCACTTTTCTTGTGCTGTCACCAAAAATAATAGAGCACAAATATGCAGGGTAAGAAGCACCAATATGACACTCACAAGTGTCATCTTCCTGCTGGGTCTCCTTTCACCTCATCCTCACTTTGACCGTTCTGTGCAAACCCACTCCCAAGTCAATCACCAAGTCCAGAAAGCCCAAAAATCTCTAATGACTGACTGGCTTCCCCCTACAGGCTGAGAATATGGGTCAGAGTCTCTGGCAAAACCAAACATAAGATTTGCATCTGAAAGTTGTGGACCGAAGCACCCCGAGCCTAACATTTCAACTTGAAACCACACATATATATTTTTTTTTTCTCTCCAACAGAAAAGCCTATAAATCAAAGTTGTCCACTGTCCAATCAATATTCAACAGTCGTTCTTATTCAAAGTGAACGTGATGACCTGAAAGTCTCAAGGAAAAGAGAGAAATGGATTACCAGCCACTCCAAAAGGTCGTCGCAACCCCGAGGTCAGTTTCCTTGTATTGTTGTCCCTCAGCTCCATGCGACCCACCCGAACAATCTGACAGACAAAACTGATTTTATCCCTTTTCAGGTCTTTGCTTCCGAGGTCCTAGAAATATGAATTTCCATAAATTATTTTGGAGAACCGTTATTCAGTGAAATTTCAACTGAAAAGGACAGTAAAAAGATGGATTGAGACTCTTTTTTTCTTAGACCAATTTTTATCATTTCAAGAAGTTATTCACATGACAAAAAGGAAACTGAACAATAGTCAATTAACATTAAGTGAACTTAAGATACAAGTTTAAGAGACATGTTCAATAGTAATGGAGGATATCTTTGTCACAGCAATTCCAAGGGTGACTCAGAAGATTTGTGGGAAGGCACCTTACTCACTGATACTTAATTAGCTTGTATTTCAGTCATCACAAGAACACATATGTTCTAGTGCAGTAGGGGGTGAGAGGAACGTCACTAAAAGTAATCATTAGAGAGTTGAGCAATGAACAATTCAACCAAACATCTTTAGGTACACTTACAGTAAACACAGCTCGCAAATTATGTAATCTGTCTATATCTTTAGGTAATCCTGAGCTTGACCAGCGAACCAGGTAGTTTTCACTTGAAAAAGAAATAAAAGCAAATTAATTTTTCAGATTTAGCAGGGTAGCAAATGTACATCGACACTGCTTAATACCCCAGAGGCCCACTATACAGACAACTGTGAGTTTATAAATAGCAACAATATTGAATAAAGCTATTCATTAATTAATATATACTGCAAAAAAAAAAACCATAGGTTTTAATCCGGGATGTCTTGGTTACCTGCAAATGACATTTCTAGGTTTCTCTGCCTTTTTGGTTTTTTTAAAAGTCTATCTGTTCTTTCGGAATGAAAATAATATAAGTTTCAACACAATGCATGTTTAGTTCAGAGCCTAGGATAACCAAAAATGATGTAAAATAAAAACTGTATCTTATGTGAAAAAGAAGTGAAGTCCTTATCAGAAATAAGACAAGTTCTCCCATTTGTTCTATATCAGTCATACATTCACTAAGTTTTTTAATTTTGAATTATATAAGTGAAGACATTGGCATTTTAGCACATACAGTTGAGCCATAATTTTTCCATCTGGACAAGGAGAAAGTTATGCTGCAGGCCAAGCTTGAACAATGGATTTACAATGTTTTCATTCAACAAATATTAACTAAGAGTCTGTACGTGGCAGGCATGCTCTATACACTGTATTCCATCCAATCATCATCAAGAAAAAGCAATAGGACAAAGGTCACAGAAATGACATTCAGAGAAACCCTAAGTCTGAAAAAGGAAAAAGTGATAACAGGGACTTGGATATAAAAAAAATCCTATAGAGATAACATAGGAAACAAAGTACTACATCAATCTTCAGCTGGATCCTTAAAATACCACAAAAGTGTACCTGCAATCATCCTAACTCCACAAGCAAATACCAATCTACACATAAGAAGGGCAGCTGTACCCAGAGCCCAAGCTGGCTGTCGTCAGACTATCTAAAAGAGCTCAGAGATGTCAGGCAGCCAATCAGCCAAGAGCTCTCAGCACAAGTTGGACATTTTCGCAGTCCTGTCACCATATTCCTAGCACTAGCCAAAAAAGAAAGATGGAAACCCAGAAATGTCACCCACCTGATGAATTTGGACTCCAGAGGGTCATAAAGAGACATGAGAACCTCAGCATCTTCTCCTATTTTACAAACCACATTTTTGAGGTTGACAAACAAGGCAAGAGAAGGGGTTGCAGCAAACTTAGCTTGTCTATTAATATCTATGTTCTGCTTTTGAGACTGTGAATAGAAAGAAAGAAGTCAGTCAACATTAGCAACACTCATTGCTAACCCTTGTTTTTTTATTTTAATTTATTTCCTACAGCATAAAAAGAGATATACAACTAGCCTGCAAAACACAGCAAAGTCATTAATGCAGTCACTTTCTTATCCCCACTGCATATTCTGAAAGTATGCATCCAACAAACAGAAAAAAATAGCACCCAGTGCAATGGTCACAATGCCACAAGGTTTGCACTGAGTATTTTCAGATACAAAACTTTCAGGTATCCCATCAATGAATCAGAATAATGATTATATGTGTTGTCACTTGCGTGATTTTTGGTTCCCTCATTAGACTAAACCCTCTAAGAGGTCTCATTCACCATTATGTCCTCAATACCTGGCACATAGTAGGAGCTCTATAAATCGTTGTTGAGTTAATAGATGGGACAATCATTCGATCAATTTCTGAAAATCTACTACATTCATGACACCATCAGAGGTAACAGAAGATGAAAAGATGGATACAACATGTGTTTCCTGCCCTCAGTAAGCCTAAAATATATCACCCTCCCCATCACGGCTCATCAGAGAGGAAATACAGAATCAAGACTAGTCTCCCACTGGACAGATGGGCACACAAGGTCAATGTCACTAAGATCCTGTCTCCTCAGATAAAGCCACAATGCTGCACACATCCCATCAATGGATGAAATCCTTTCTTTTCATCCCTGAAATGTTTGCCATTAGACTCCAAACCATTCACCACGGTACGAAACACACTATATAGTTGCTCCTTTTCAGGTGTTTAGTGCCAATGTGGAGCTTCACTGATATTTTATTCATGTTGAAAACGGTTCCTGAGGAAAGGCATTCCAAATGTGAATGGCGTATCACAGAGCAGAACTTACTTTTTCTTCTTGTAATCTTTCTTCCACTTGTTTAGAAGCTATTTCATGCGCTCTGAAGAGACTGATCGTGCTAGTCAGTTCTGGATCCAAAATATTCCCGTCTTCATCTCTAACCACAAGGTCCAAATCGAGAATTCTAGAACAACAAGAATTCCGAAATTCATGGACACAGACCAAAGTGTTGTAATTATCTGGTACTTCAGCCCCAGCAACTGAGCAGATAAAAACATCCTAAGAGTCAGGCTCACTCACAAATATTGGGGAACAATAGTTCTGTAAGGTTCTTTTCTTTTACTCAAAACATAAAACCTTAGGGGAATTTTTTTTTAAATGTTTTTCCTCGGTTTTTACTTTCATTGCAATAGTGACTTTTTCTTCCAATGAGAAATTTTATAGATCTACAAAGCCCAAGTGAGACAGGTATTACTAATTATTCTACAAAGTACAGAAAATGTGAAGCACATTATATACATATATATATTCATAAATATATATGCAATCAAAGACACATCCACGGGAACAAACACATAATGTTGGCAGTTATGACATCACTGTTGAGTTGGGGAGGGAGAGAGAGAGGAAAGATTGGAGCAGAGATGTTCCTACCAGCCACTTTACTCACCACGTGGTCTCTGGGAGGGTCCATGGCATGGCTCTCCTTCTACCTGAACTCAGTTCTAATCCCTACATGAGCCCGCCAGAACATTCTCAATGAAGATGTTCTACTGTGTTTGAACACCAAACATAAGGCTGTTATCCACAATAATGTTAAGCAACTTCCTGACCAGATGGCTAAATGTAGTCGCCAACTGAAAACACAAGTAACATCTGGCTAATAAATCTGTCCAGTCTATATCTGGAAATACTTTTTAGAATATTGTCTCTGATTTCCCAAATTCACCAAAATTATCAGGTGATTTTGATCACAGTTTTTATTTAAAGAATAAACAGAGGCAATTATATAACAAAAAAAAAATCAAGAGTTGTGCTATGGCGGTATGTTCTAGTTTTCTTTTTAATAAGACATGCAGGTCTCTCAGCAGGAAATTAACCATAGATGCCTCCTCCCTGCCCCTGGAATTATATTCTCGTTACTAACAAGTCTATTTTTTAAACCGCATGACAAAGGGAAGAGAGTCTTCTGAAAGAACAATAAATTTCAATTAGACAACATCTTGAACAGTCATAAATTCGGGAGGAAAGTTGAATTTCCCATCAACACTCCATCTAGACAAACTGCCCTCAGACGTCTCTTGAGTCTACACACCTGAAAGCTAGAAGGATCTACAAGTCTCACAGCAGGTCAACCACGCTTAGTGTTTGGTGTTAGACTGAACCGCAACACCATTTGTAAGACAATGACAAAAACCTCATTTTTTTCCTTTTAATATCCATTGAGCAAACTGCACTGATGGTGAAGCAGGACCAACTGGGCCTAGCAGCAGCATCGGGGTAAACAGACTTTAAACAAATAGAAGCTTTTGCACTGCATGAAAACAGTCTCAGCCGTTGCAGTGTTTGTGGGGTGCCTCAAGAGAAACAGAAAGACATTTGGAGGGAAAAAAAACAAGGCTTTTAAAGTCTCATTTGTTAGCCTGCAACATGTTTCACTAACGAGGCAAAGCCCCTCCCTCCCAAATCGTACTATTTATCCCAAGCCTGGCCCTACTCCTAGGAGGAGTCAGTGCCAGTGCAGGCAGAGCCAATGTTGGTAGGCATGTGGTCAGTTCTAGTGTGGACAGGGTCAGTGCTGGTACGAGGGACACAACAGAGCACAGAGCTTGCGGGGGTCTAGCCAGTAGCTCCTGCAGGCCAAACAGAATTGCGCTGCCTCAGGGAACACAGGAGGCCGGTGTCCTGCGCCAGCCTGCTGTGTCCTTCATGCCATGTCATCACCTCACACCTGCCCAGGGAGACGGTCAGACACGTTTTACGAAAGAGGAAACCTAAGCTCAGGGAAATTATTTATTCCAACGCAAAACATCTAGAAGAGCCCAGAGCCTGGATTCTGCACCAGCACTCTCTGAGGGCAGAGCCACATTCTTTCCAGAACGGCACATGCAAAGCATCACATGAAGTGGCCTGCCTAGCCAACCATTCTACCTGCTGTTCTCTGCAACCGGTACCCAGCTGGTTCTGAATCTGTAGTGAGTTTCCACATGAAGGGTGCAACTGACCACAGCAAGATAATCAAGAGGTTAATTCCATGGAAGCCTACACACAGCAACTATGAGGACAGAGGTGGAACGCCCCTGAAATTCTGCCCAAAATTGTGGGAGAGCAGTCTGTGTATGTGTATCGTGCATGTGCAATTTTCTAGAGAGACGGTCCATGACCACCATCACATTCTCAGATGCCTCTCAGAACCCCTCTCCCCCAAAGTAAGAAAATCCAAACAATGAATGAAAAAGGCATGAAATACCTTCTCTTTACTAAATTCACTCATCTTAAGATCGAACATTCAATGCTGTGATATTATTTTGTATTATTTTGCTGTTTAAGGGACTAGAAGGTATGCACAGAGCATTGGGCTTTAGAGAAATTATAGAGCAGGCTGAAGATACTTGGGCAAAAAAAAAAAACCTCTTACTAAGGACTGTAGTTTCTACTGAGGTAGTGAATTACATCTGGAAACACTTCTTCCTTAACTAGATTTTCCCATGACATAATGTACTTTGCTAGCTGCCTGCAGCCAAATTAAGCAGGTAGTCTCTGAACATAAGTTCATGTTACAATACCCCAACAGAAAATAAAATCAAAGCTCCAAAAGTTTGTTTTTATAAGCAGGTGGTCTTGAAATGGGTTTCACTGCAACAATATCTAATATCCTACATTCAGAAATCTCTGGCTTTCTGAAAAACAAAAAACTTTCTCCTGTGGCATTTCTAATCCAAACCATACATCTTGCTTATACTGTTGCTTTAAGAAAATTTTGGCATTGAATAATTTGGATTTTATAGAAAGCTTCTTTAGTTTTCCTAGGGCTCCTCTGAGCTACATGGCTAGAGACAAACCCTTTCCCTTCTCTGACTCTAACTAACACATTCCAATGTGCTAAATGAGGGCACTGCTCTAAAACCAGAAGTTTCCCAAATCTGTTGTCCAGTTTGGTCCAACTCTATTTTTAAAAACTGAGATTTCAAGCCTAGAAGTTCAAGACCATCCGGGGCAACGTAGCAAGACCTCCACTCTACAAAACATCAAAAAATTAGCCGGATATGGTGGTACACACCTGTATTCCCAGCTATTCGGAAGTCTGAGCTAGAAGTATCACCTGAACTCAGGAGGTGAGCCATGATCAGGTTACTGCACTCCATCCTGAGTGACAGAGTAAGATCCCAACTCAGAACAGGAAAAACAAACACATAAACAAACAAAAAAAACGCTGAGATTTCCAGCCAACATCTCAGAGATCACACACCAGAACCTGAAGGAGCTGAGTCTCAGGATTCAATATTTTGAAAGCTCTCCAAATAATTCTGATGTGGAACACCATTTGGGAACCATGTGACCAGATCACTGTTAAGGCTTCTTGCAGCTCTGATAACAAAATAACAAAATAGTTATCCAGTAGGGAAGGGCATAGCCTCACTCTGGTTACAGAATCTGGGAGAATCAGAATGAGAGCAGCTTGTTTCCTTTCAGCATCAGAAAATGCTAACACTAGACTGTGCAGTTCTAGAGAGAAGTGAGCACGCCATCACTAAAGGCATTCAAGCCGACCTAACTGAATGCTTGCTGTAGATGGAAACGTTAGCAGGAGACAATTACATAAAACAACTATTTGCTATTTATCTCATTTCGAGCTTAGCTGGGCTATATTCGTTTGTGAAAGCTGGCAAGCCTACACAGGTGACAAGTTTTCCGGTGATCAAACGTCCAATCCAATTCTCAGAACTTGGAATTCCACGGAAAGAAACCTGGTGCCTGCCACTGCACAAGGTACCTCCACGTCCAGACTCAAAGTCAAATACTGTGAAAAGTGTGTGAAAAGTATGTGAAAGTTGCTGGGGAGTCGGTGTGGGGACCCCTCCAAAAAATGGCAGGTTCTTGACTCCATGCCTTGAAGGATGAATAGATTTTAAGAATGACTCAAGAAACTCTCCTGATTTTCGAAATCCAATAGAAAATGCCTCATCCTTTTTCAAAATGAAAACCATGCCATTATTTTGATGTTAGAAACTTAGTTTTATGATAAAATGTGGTTTTGGTCTCCTCAAGGCTCATGGTAACGTTATGATACTGAATAATTTAAGCATGAAATCATCTGTTAGATAAACAAACCTGTTTCCATAATCAATTTTGGCCGTAACCTTCTTCTTCAGTTCTTTGAGCTCATCCTGCGGCAGGGTTCCAGAAAGAATTTGCGATCGCCACTCAATGAGGTCGTAGATCATGTGTCGAACGCTGCGAAACATCTCCCTATTATCTTGCTATACAAGGAAAACAAAAGGCCAATTTTAAAGCTTTTGTTATAAAACAGCACTGTGGGCAAAACACAGATTGAGTATCTCCTCAAACACACATGAGGTATGTGAACCATATCATGGGATTCAGTGAATGTTTAATTAAAAGGTGTTTTTAGCATAAACTGGAACACATTAGATGAAATTTGGTTTCTATGTGACACCAAAAGATTAAAAGAATAAAAAGCAATGCATGGCTGGGCGCAGTGGCTCAAGCCTGTAATCCCAGCACTTTGGGAGGCCGAGGTGAGGGGACTGCCTGAGTCCATGAGTTCAAGAATAGCCCGGGCAACTTGATGAGACCTCATCTCTGCAATGAATCAAAAAATTAGCCAGGCGTGATAGCGCATGCCTATTCCGGCTACTTGGAAGTCTGAGGTGGAAGGATCGCCTGAGCCCAAGAGGTCAATGCTGGGACGGCCATGAGTGTGCTACTGCATTCCAGCCTGGGCAACAGAGTGAGACTCCAACTCAAAAAAAAAAAAGTAATGCACAATTCCCAAGATTCCATCCAACATTCCAGAGTATGTACCACTGAATCAAGAAGATGATGCCCCAGCAAGAGCTAGGCTTTGAACCTGAACCTCAACCCCTGCTTCTAGTAGCTGTCTCACAGATAGACAACTCTTAAAGCACATTCAGAATTAGTCTGGGCCCAAAGATCTGAATCTTACAACTTGCATATAGTCTTCAGGATACTCTGTGCCCTGGACCCTTCTCGGCACACTAAGAAACGGAACCCCTAGGCCTTACTGTCAGCTGAGTTATCCAAAAGAACATCCCACACTGGGCTGGCTCCCAAGCACATTTTGGTCACATGACCCATAAATAGACACGTCTGAAAGAAGCCAAACCTCAATCCACAAGCTCTTGACTCTTTTGTGACAAAAGGAAAATATAAGTAAGATGCAAAATTCACACTTCTTACTACTTTGTAAGTATTCTGACCAGATGACAAAGAAAAGCAACAGTTTACAACTGCAAGAGTACAATCACCAAGGAGATTAGGGATTATACAAAGGAAAATAGCACAGTGGTTCTTTCAATGAAGAGGATGTGATAAAAATTTCAAACATCATGGTCCTCTAAAAAAATTGAAATATGTTCACTGCTGTTTTATTTTTATTTATTATTATTTTTTTTGAGTTGGAGTCTCACTCTGTCGCCCAGACTGGAGTGCAGTGGCGGCTCCCGGCCACCACAGCCTCGACCTGCTGGGCTCCGGAGATCCTTCCGCCTCAGCCTTCCAAGTAGCTGGAACTACAGGCACGCACTATCATGCCCGGCTAATCTTTTGATTTATTGTAGAGATGAGGTCTCGCCAAGTTGCCCAGGCGAGTCTCGAACCCGCGGGCTCAGGCAATCCACTCACCTCAGCCTCCCAAAGCGCGGGATTACAGGCTGAGCCACCGAGCCCGGCTGCTGTTTTATTTTTAAAATACCCCCTTCTCCATACCCAAACCACAAATCCCATTATTTCTAGTATTTGACCTTCTTTCTAGGAGTTTCTAATATGCCCTTCTATCACAAAGCACCCTAATAAGCTATTTGATATCCCATGAGCTTGTCTTTATAATATCATCCGAATTTTACTTTCTTAAATTGAAACTAAATGATCAAATTTAACAATTTATTATAGAAATTATGCTTATTTCCTTCTTAATAATTCTCCTTGTCCATTTCTCTAAGGCCGTATCAACTTCCTAAAATCCTTAAATTTTTTTTTTGCTAATATCTACAACCACAGAACAGAGCAAAAATTGTATAGAAAAATATTATATCCATATTTGGCTTGGCTTTGCTCAAATCCAACAATGTAGGTCCATCAGAGGTAAATTTAAGTTTTGTAAAAGGAAACCAAGGTGATCATTAAGAATGCCTGCTCCAGAGTGGTACGGCTAAAACTGTGTCCACTGGAATACTACTCAGTATCAACTCCTGTTTGTTTTGTTGCCATATTTTTGCTTAAAAATTGCTAAGTTGAACATGAAACACCCACTAAAAAATTGCTCAGATTTACACAAAACATTCATGGCTAACTTGACACTTTTAGGTTTTTGGAGTACGTTTGATGAACAATTACCACAACTGCTTATTACTGTGCATTTATAGGAAACCACTGTATAATCAAAAGCAACCAAGCCTGCCCGACAAGCAGCTGTGGGACGTTAGGAAGTTTTCTATGTTCCCAAGAAATTAATGTACTGACTTCCTTCCAGAGCCCTTGCTTGGTGATAATAACATTAGCATATGAGAAATCAACACCCTGCATAGAAATACAGGCTTAACAAAAGGTAATCTTCTGCAAATATGAATTTATGTGCAAAGAAATGCCCTGAGGGAGTAGAAAATGGAAGATGTCAGAGCTCTGACCTCTCCACATTCATAAGTCTTCTTCCGTGATCAGGAGAACTGGATGGTCGTATATGAAGTTAGAATGTAAAATATTTCCCTGTGCCTTCCGCAAATATGGGTAAACCTGGAAGACTTTGTGTGTGTGTGTGTGTGTGTGTGTGTGTGTGTGTGTGTGTGTGTGTGTGTGTTTTAAATAAGAGGAATTACCCACTGATGGACAATGGTTAAAAAAATAAATAGTAATCTCCATCTGCACCATCCATAACATAAGCACCTACTACTGCTTAAAAGCCAATTTTAGTTTTCACGGCCAAAATATCAATTCTGAGGTGACATCAATGCAGACTGCCTGATCCTGTATTCCAGGCACATTATCACAATCACATTTTCCCTTCCAACCCAAGGAAAGACGAATCCCACGGCCCTTTCACAGCCCACTGCATTATGGTGAGCAGAGCTGCACCAGAACGCACAGTAGTCGAAGTGTACACGGCCCCAAAAGCGGCCAAATTATCAGGCCATGTCACTTTCTTTGCCCTGTCTGAGTGAAATACTGTCCCAGAAGTTCGGCTACTAAGGTTCCCAGGAAGAGGAACACATGCCATTGACACAGCAAGCTCCAAAAAGACCTTCTCTATGCTTAAGCGTTGATGTGACATCCCATATTCTCACCACATAGAGCTGCCTCCAGATGGTGGACCACTCTCGGAGTGTTGTGGTGACTTCCTGTATAAGGGGAAGCTCACCCGGGATGACTGTTTCATGTTGCCTGGGGTGAAAGAAAGAAAAAGCAGCTGAGTCCACAGTTTCATGAACTGCTGTGAGTTGCACCTCATACATTCGAAATCTGAGTCACGGAGTTCAACATTTAAGCCAATAGAAAGAAAATACACAAATAACACTGTGTTCATGCATAAAATACATACATCTCTAAGAATGACAAGTTATATTTGGACAGAACTCGGGAATGTTCATACATGATTCTGCATGTAAGCCGTCTACTTCGTATACCAAGGTAAGACAGAGGAGCCACATATCCCATTAAGTCTACAGAACATCAAGGTCTGGCAAGTGGAAAGTATATTCAAAATAAGTGTACCCATCTGTCTTAAAGATGTCATAAATTATAACTGCTCTGTGTGACATTAAAATGCGGGCTCGGGTTAAGATTGTTTTTACATTTCTATCGTGGGTAAAACTCATTAAACGATAATGCATGAAGCAAAAGTCTACAGTTACTCTATCTAATCTCTACTCTGATTATCCTCTTACTCTTTTTCCTCCACCGAAAGGTTAACCCTTTACTAATTATCTATAAAGGCACTGGTTTTCATCAAATCAACCATTGTTTCTGGGCACACGCTCAGGGTCAGGTACACGCAGAGTATCTGGAACTGTGTGAGAGACTGAATTTGTGGCTTGTGTAGTTAGGCTGGCTGGCCCCAAAGCTCCTATGTGTGACCCCAACAGATAAGAATCAGGCCAGCATGGGTGTCCAGGGACACTGCAACATACAATATTTGATTTGTACAGGGTCCAGACCTGTGGAAAGAACCCTGACTTTGACTTTGGCTCACAACTGAGATCCACACCTGCGATGATTTATTGATGGCAGTGGGCGGGCAGTGGGTGGCCCCCAAAACAAGAGATAACGGGATCCCTCAAAGAATGCTGATCTCGTGGAAAGGTCTAGAAACCAGATGTCTGAGGAGGGGTGCATGCAAGACCACTTTCTAGAAAACTACTGTTAAGAATAACTCTTTGATGAGACATTCTCAGTGTCGACTAAGGGATATGATTGCTAAAACAGCCCCGCCAAGCCTGTCACCAAGTTTCCCGGTAAGGGTACTGATGGAACTGTGGTCCCTTACCCTCCATGGTGACATCCTTACAAAGCCTACAGAGACAAATTTCCCTTCACTCACAGCTTGAGGATATTTATCAGCAACTGGGCTGTTTTCACTTTACAAATCCTGAGTGTCTTACTGAGTCCACTGGTCATGCTGAGTCCACTGGTCATACCCAGAACAGACCCCACTGGGTACCAGAAGCTTGGAGCTCAATTACACCTTCCTTTCACCACGTGAATAGCGCCTCTATGCATGAGCCATGTCCCAGTCTCAGCTTTGGCTTTTTCTTACCTTCTTTCCTTTTGAATATACCTGATCCATCCCTTAGGTTAAAATGCCAACTGGTACTAATATGCTTGATCTGACTTTATTGTATTATCTTTGTTACCACCTTGCTACCTGCCAGGGATCAGTAACACACAAAACCAACAAGGCCCTGCCTCATGGGGCTGCTGATAGGTCCGAAGAAAGAGTGTCATGGGAGAGCATCCGTTAGAATGCATGGGACTTGGTGGGAGAGGATGTTGGGTCAAAGGATACAACGTTTCATTTAGACAGGAGAAATAAGTTCAAAAGGTCTATTATACTGCACTGTGACTACAGTCAATAGCAAAGGATTGCACACTTGAAAATTGTTGAGAGAATAAATGTGAAGTATCCTCACAATGAATACATAATAAATAATGTGAGACAGTATAGTAACATATTTTAAAAGCTTGCTAATTAGCTTATCTAGCCATCCCACAATGCGTGCATACTTCAACACATCATGTGGCATACCATAAATATATACAATTTTTATTGGTCAATTTAAAAGACAGGTTTTTTTTTTAAGAGGATGAATGGGTTACAGCAGATGCTCTGCCAACCATGGGGATTCTCATTCTTTACTTGGCTCTGCATAATTGGGTAAGATGTCAAGAGAAAAGTCAGGGGTAGAGGTCCCGTTCCAAGCATCATCCACAGAGAGGGAACAGCTGAAGGGGAGAGAGCAAGAGTCCATGTCAAAAGAAAAGAGGCAACAAAGAAACAGGAAAAGGGCCGCACTCAGAGTAATGGGCGGGGGCTGAAGAAGATGGTAAAACACTTGGTAAAAGATCGGGGTAACAACAGGAAGAGGATGAGAAAGCATTAGAGTTATGAAGGAGCTTTAAGTTGAGTAGGTGTCCAATGTTGCCCAAAAAAGCTCCAAAGAGGAGGGCCGAGAACACACGGTTAAGTCTGGACATTAGGCAGCATTGCTAACAATGTCAGCATTAAGGAAGTATTAAAAAATTGGAGTCACTTTGGCTAGGGTTAAGGTACAGAATTGGTGGTAACAGACATATAGTAATCATGTGAGATGTCTGAGAGCAAAAGGTGTCCAGAGAGAAGATAGAGACCAAGCAAGAGAGATCCTTCAAGAGAGTTAATAAAAAAAGAGCCTGCAAGAGAGAGATCATGTAAGAAAGATCATGCAAGAGAAAGACCATGAGAAAGACTGTGCACGAGAGAAACCCAGCAAAAGACAGATCATGAGAGAGACCAGCAAAAAAGCAGATCTTGCAAGAGAGATCCAGTAAGAGACAGATCTTACAAGCGAGAGAGACAGACTCTGCCAGAGATGGAATAATGAACTTGGCGAGTAAGAAGACAGGCAGGTGCAAGATCAAAGAGGGGCCAGCATCGGTAAAAGAATTAACCAGGAGAAGAAGGGAAGACGGACACCCACAACAAACAGGAAAGGGGGAGGAGTGAGGTCACCTGTCAAGCCTGGAGGTAGGGGCTCTTCACAGGAAGGAGCCATTGCCCGCCAGGTAATGAATGTAGGGAACCACCACAGGGCGACCAAAACATCGGCAAGGAAACTGTTTCTTAACTGTTCATCTCATCATGGCTCTATCCATTTGCCCACATTCAGGCACCTTAGACCAGAAGACCCAATAACAGGAACCAAATGTGTCTCTGTCTATCTGGGTAAGTGTTAACTCTACTTTTTGAGAACCAGAGTCATCTTGTGTTCACTTTATTACCATGCTTCATATTACACCTTATGTACATTCTTTTGTATACATCCAAATGCTCCTTAAAAAATTAATGACGTAACGTCTGACTTGTATAAGGATTCTGATACATTAAATGCACATTGTATTCAGTTATTTCCATAACAAGGTACAAGTTTCAGAACTTTCTTTTTCTTCTCCTTAAAGCTCTGCATACAAAACATTGCATCTGTCTAAAAAAAAAAAAATACCATATTGCAGGTCATCACCATTCATGCCTTTAAATTATTTTCTGCATTTTAATTATGCATCATGGAACTACAGAACCTGAACGATCCTTTTCATATGTTAAAAGTACAGTGCTTGGAAAGGCAATTTTGTAATCAGCCAAAGAGATGTCATTATGCAGTAATCATATGATTAGTAATTTTATAATTTACATATTTAACTGAGTGTGAAGATGTAGCAGAGACAAAAAAAGAAAATATTTTAATGTTCCTTCTTTCAAGTTCACACCTGGTTATTCATTTGCCATTCCTCGCCTAATGGGTTCCTGTTCTACAAATGTCCTTTTAATGATCTTATACATCAGTTTTATGACCTCTAGGAAACATACATCACAATGAGACAAAATGTAAATTCATGCATGTCCCAATTTAACAACTGTTGCTTTACTCTAACCTCCACTTGTATCACACCCTGCAAAGTCTTCCAAAAAATAAAAAATGGACTCAGAGCTGGGGGCTGTGGAGTCTTTGCCAATTGGGGTAGCTGGAGCACCAGAAACTGCCCTCAGATTCAAGAAGAATGACTGAAATTACGGTGCTGACTTCCGACTCTATAAAGGATCAAAGCCATGTCATGTACAACTCTGAATCACAAGTCCCCTTTCACTCCCCAGAACTCTGTCCCATCATCGTGAATCACACCCATTGTCTTAACCTCCTAAGATTACCCTACTATACAAAAGAGCAGTAAGATCAAATATAATAGTTACAATTCTTCATTTAAACATCAAGACTAGACTCACCCTTTTCCTTCAACTATCGCTTCCTTAAGGTGAATATATGAAGCAGGAAATATGCCCTTTGAGGGAAAAAAAAAGACAGGAGATTTTATTATCAATGTGAATACTGACTGCACATATAACAACAGCCCCCAAAAAGGTGGAGCCGGGAGTGGCTGGATCACTATTAACTTTGCAAGTTTTCTTCTAAACCTCTTATACAACTTATCAAAGAAAACACAAAGAAGTGGAAAAGACAGCAGCTCAGTCGGCTTGTATTCCAAAGAGTGTGCAGGTATCTTACAGGAAAACAGATGATGTGTTTGCAAGGGAAAAATTCCATGAAGACACGCGCAACTCCTCATCCTCTCTATAGGTTGTACCGTTTCCACTGCTGGCCTCGACACAGGCAGATCAAAGGCCAACAGATGCCTGAAAAGCAATTTTTGATGATGGTCTCTGACAGTTTCCTTTTTCAAAATAATCAAATTGTCATCGAAAGTTGGTTTAAACTGCTGATCATCACTTGTGGACGGACCATTTACTTAGACCCATGGAAACGTTCTCACAGATCTCCCAAACAAGGCGATCATCTGGTAAAATACAGAAGGTGGGCTGAACTTCGTCCAATCTGCACGACTGCGGGGGGCGGGGGGGGGGGAAGGGCACTCGCTTTTTTTTATGTCGTGCTCTGTGTCGTGCACACGTGAGCTCAACAGAACAGAGTCCAAGAAAGACAGTTTCTCAGCGTCAGGCCCAGTCTGTGAAGGTCCAGGAGGAGAAGCAGCTTTATCAACCGTCTGGGTCCTGCTTCCTGAGCAAGAAAAACAATCCCCTTACTGGAATGCAGCAGAAGGAAGCACAGGACAGGCAACAGGAAATGCGGTAGCAGGGCTGGGGTCCTGGGCAGTGCGACACGAGCGAGCTACCACTTCCTGCGTGAGTTTTAGGGCATGTGGCAAAAATCCATGAAGCAGTACCCCTGTGGTTTCAAGGCACCCGTTGTGGAAACAGAAGTTTCTGATTGGGTTTCACTGGCATCTGGCCCTGACTCATCGACACTAGATCCAGAGACCAAAGTACTAATGATGCTTGAGAGGAGCTTGAGTAGGTCTAGCAGGCACTGATTCATGCTGCTCCTGCCTACCAGGAAAGTGGCCAAATTCCATATAAAGAAGAATTATCACAGAGAGGGAAAGGCATCGGGCAGAGTCAGAGGATAAGCAACAAAAGAGGACAGAAGGGGCCTAACGCTAGGTTGCCTTGTTTGGATGCCAGTTATCCAGAATACCTTCACATCCCAGGCTGGTCTCCAGGTACACACTGGACATCATTCACTGATGCCAACAAGTGTGCACCCAGATGGAGGGGGAAAAAAACAAACAGCCAATCCCAGCCCTGCCCGTGTCCATGGGTAGGGATTGCCCTTACTCTTAGCAAACCCAATGGAGAACCATAAAGCCTTGGAAGGCATCACGATGGTGAGGCTGGACACACCTGGAGGCTTGAAATGCGCAAATTCAGGGGGCCATTCAGGACCAGCTCTGATCAATCAACTGTGCATTTGTAAATATCTATACAAACCCTTGGAGTCAGAATTTCTATGGGCCACATCCCTTCTCTGCTACTGCCTGGGAGGCCCCCTACAAATTACATTCTCTGTCAGATCTGGATTTCCTCATCTGTCAGTGAAGATCTTCGATGGAAAAATAACTCTCTTAGCTGCTCTCTCGTGTTAATGAGCTGTGATGTCTTGGCACCCGAGTGCAACACAAAAAGTACTATGGTTTGGGGAGGCACTGGGGGAATGGAAGATATTTGAAATTGGGGAAGGTAATAACAAATACCAAATAGGTACCAAAGGAAAATGAACAGCTTGTTTAGGGCACACCCAACCCCTATGTAGCTGCAGCTTTGCCCTATACCGAAGTGTGGGGGCAGGGAGTGGATATTAATCTATGTCCCTAATCTCTTTATTACTAAAGTCTTTGACTACAGTTTTCTCAAATTCAGAGTTTCATTTGCTGGAATACAGTCTTTTTTTTTTTTTTTTTTTGAGTGGGAGTCTCACTCTGTCACCCAGACTAGAGTGCAGTGGCCACTACCGGCCACCGCAGCCTCGACCTGCTGGGCTCCGGCGATCCTTCCGCCTCAGCCTTCCAGTAGCTGAAACTACAGGCGTGCACTACCACGCCCAGCTAATTTTTTGATTTATTGTAGAGATGAGGTCTTGCCAAGTTGCTCAGGCGGGTCTCGAACCCGCGGGCTCAGGCAATCCACTCACCTCAGCCTCCCAAAGCGTGGGATCACAGGCTGAGTCACTGAGCCTAGCTTTTTTTTTTTTTTTCTTTACAGACAAGGTCTCACTGTTTTGCCCAGGCTGATCTTGAAATCCTAAGCTCAAGTGATTCCCACTTCAACCTCCCAAATAGCCGGGACAACAGGTGCATGCCACTGCACATGGCTGGAATACACTCTTATTGGAGAAGGGGCGATCACTATGAAAACAGAAATCTGTTCCAATATCCACCAGGTTGAAGTCTATGTCGTCCAAATTTCAAGGCGGCAGGGCCTTGGATGTGTGGAGAGTTGTAGCCCAGTCTGAGTTTGCCGAGGGTGAGGTAAAAGGTCTTTGGCCCAGGTTGCAAATCTGACTCATCCATTTCCTAACAGTGTCTCTCACGTCAGAGACCAACATGACTACGCCAGAGGAAAGCTGCCCTGGGGAACAACCTATACCAGGGCTACGAGAGGATGACTCGCTTCACGGCCTTCAAGGGACTCTGACCTGCTAAATAAGCAAAGCCTGTGTCAGGGCCTCTGGAGGAGGCAGAGCGGGAAGGCCCTGACGCTTGACCTGCTGGACTTCAGAGGCAATATTACAGGCTCCAGACCACAACAGAGAGTCCAGCCCAGGAAGGAGATCATGAGAGGCAAATTTAGAGCCCAGAAGTGAAATGAACCATCTGTCAAGCATAATTAGAAATTAGAACATATAAGTTATCGTGGGCAACCCCACCACAACCTGGGATGGACGTTCCTTCAAAATCTAACATCGTAGCATGAAACAGAAGAGCCATCATTAGGTTTTGTGAAGCTAAGAACGTCAAAACCACAACAGAATTGGGTACGGGAGCGCCCACCACAGTGATCTGAGATGTAATTACATGTCTTAGGTTCCGAAATTCAAACAACCACGCATGCAAACTGCTCTTGGAGAACAGACTCCTTTTTCCACAACTTGACTTTAGCAGGGTAGAAACAGTTGTATGACAGAGGGGAATGAGCATGAATGAGCTCTGCAAATTTGCTAATTTATCATCAAGGGTGATATGAGATTGAAAACTGTGATACGAGATTGAGAATGTTCTCTAACATTCTCTGACACACACACTGCCTAAACAGGATGTGAAATTCTGTCAGGAGAGGACAGAGGTCAATACTGTATCACAACCCAGCAACTCACTCATGGAAACGAAGCTGATATTTCAACACACACGTATCATTCAGAAGAAAGGAGTTTAAGGTTGTTTACATTCCAACCCATATTTTCTTTAAAATTCAGAGAAAGAGACATAGAAGTAAAACTCTTCAAAACAAATGAGATGGAATTGATTTCCTCTTACTGTTTGATTTACGAAAAGCCATGCATCGTGTTTAGGAAGGACTTACCTTCTTAGACTTTTTTCTTAAGGTGTAACCTCTGTACCACCCTGCACAAACACAAAGTTGAAGAGGTTAGTACAAAAGGACACGATAATGTCCTAACAACATCTTCATGGTGTGTACAACTCATTGTGTTGCAGAATCAGGGAGGTCGGTTTGCCACCAGAATTCCATAACCCTCACGCCCTGGAGGTACACTATGGGCTTTCTAGAGACACTTGCAGCATGGCTGGTAACTTTCACATGTCTGTTACCTCACATGGCCCTGAAGCAGCAGTCTACAGTTAAGGTGCACAGTTCCAAGAGCAGGACTTGTCCTTTCAACCACTTGTAGCTGAGTAGGCTCCTTGTCTGTGCATTTTCCTATCTCTCTCTCTGCCGATTTGGATCAGGGTCTCCCCAAACGCACACACCAGCATCCTCAGATCATCAAGAGCTGCCTGGAAACAGAAAACCCATTGAGAGCGAACTTCCTCCCTCTTGAAGATGGAGGAGCTCTGCCCTGGAGCAGCCGTACCCTCACAAAGCACTTCTGTGGCAAAGACCAGACCCTCAACCAACAGGAAGCACCAGGGCCAAGAACACGGACCCACCTACCCCTTTGGCTTTGGCCCCCAGAGTCAACTACCCACTCCTTCCATGTGGTGAGAGAAAGAAAATAGAACAGAAAGAAAGACATGCTGGAACTGTTCACATGCCGCAAATGCTGAATGTTAGAGTCCCTTCAACAACAGACCAGATCCGGCCACGCCCTTTGCACCCCCATCGAACTGAGGGAAGAAACTCAGAAACTTGTCCCTACAAATGCCCAGGGGTCCATGGCTGGTAACCCATCTCCCAACACCTCCACCACTGCATGGCATCAGAAAGATGTTTTCTCATTCTAAACATTTTCAAGTCACTCCAGGCCACCTCATTTCCAGAAAGAAAATCAAAAGCTCAGAGACAAGCCCAACATTACCCCCACAGGAGCAAAAAAACCGACATCAGAGAGTCACGGAGAGCACTTAGAAAATGAAAGCTGGGTAAATGCCCAGAGAACAACCAAAGATTGAGTTTTTCTACACTATCAAAAAGTCAAAATTCAGAAACCAATGTTGTATAAATGAGAGAGCAAGTTTAGAGAGAACTGAAAATGGGCCAATGTTGCAGCAACTGTCCTCCACCCTTCCCAAAATGTAGTAATTTTAACAACCAGGGGTGAAGAGGGAGATTATGAACCAGAAAGTGATCGTGTTCAAATGAGCCAAATTTGTTATTAAACAGATATTTTCTAAATATCCAGAAAAGGAGACAGAAACTGCCTGGACAAAAGGATTTACTAGGTCCCAGTTATGGCCAGTTGAGTTTAAAAGCAAATTAAGTTTTAAAGCAAAGTTTATTGGCGAGAAGAAGAGAGGAAAGAAAGGGTGAGCCAAAGTTCCGTACCAGAAAAGCCTGGTACGGACAAGTCTCTCTCTCAAAAAAGAAAGACTATCTCCACTTTCTTGACTTGGAGACAAAACAGATTGATTAGGGGAAAATGAAGATACAAAATGGCTAGATTTTAGGCACACATTTGAAGACTGATCTCCTGACAGCAATATTGCCAAGTTCAGTGATTCTGATAAGCCAACCGAGAATTAATGCCTATCTACACATGACAGTGTTCGCAGACAGCGAAATGAAAACAGAAGGAAGCATGTGATGAGTTATTCAAAAGCTGTATTTACTCTGTCTATCTATTGATCTATCTATCAATTTCTTGAGTTGGAATCTCACTCTGTTACCCAGGTTGGCAGTGACACAATCATGGCTACTGCAGCCTCAACCTCATGGTCTCAGGTGATCCTTCAGCCTCAGTTTTCCAAGTAGCTAGGACTACAGGACTGCACCACCATGCCTGACTTTTTTTTTTTTTTAATTATTTATTTTAGAGACAAGGTCTTGATATGTTGCCCAGACTGGTATTGACATCCTGGGCTCAGGCACTTCTCTCACCTCGGTCTCCCAAAGTGCTATGATTACAGGTGTGAGCCACCGCGCCTGGCCTATACTTACTCAATTTAAAGAACTGTCCTTTCTCCTATTATTATATCTTTCCTGCATTTTCAGCATTAATATATCTTTTCTTTTCTTAAACTGACAAAAGATTAACAACCTAGAATGTACAATGAAATAATCCAAAGAGACAAGAAAAAGACAGCAACCTAACGAAAAAGAAAAATGAGCAAAGTTTAAAAACAATGCATAAAATAAACTCAAAAGACTTCCACCTGTTTGGAGAGATGCTTCAGCTTAATAAGAATCAGAGAAATGAAAACTTCAAATGTAGCATCACTGCACAATTAGAAGCAGTAGAAATCACAGCACTACAGAGTCCCTGAGCCCTGTGGGCAGGGGTACAGACTGCAGCAACAGATTGGGAGAAGCAGGGCTTGCTTATCCAAAGTTCACATCTTCATATTCTAGACCAAGCAAACCCCTCCTGGGAGCATAACCCCAGGGCCCTGCAGAGCCAGACGGACGGTGGGTGCCCACAAAACAGTTATAGTCATGGACTAAAGAGACACAGACAACAGGAACGCATCTTAAAACAGAGGAAGAAGGAACCTAAGAAGCAGAATGAGATTTATTACCACAATGACGTCCATTAAAAATATATGCACGCCAAACAATACAAGAACACAGGCAAACAAAGGGGTTCACTTCCAACACAGTATAAGGTTTTTCCATCAGAGGGGGCAGGAGAGAGGGGCAAGCAATGGGGATACCAGGCAAAGGGTTTTGTGTCTTATTTAAAGTTAATAGATGGCAACTTCTTTTCTTTTTTTTGTTTTGAGTTGGAGTTTCACTCTGTCGCCCAAACTGGAGTGCAGTGGCCGCTCCCGGCCACCGCAGCCTCGACCCGCTGGGCTCCGGCGATCCTTCCGCCTCAGCCTTCCGAGTAGCCGGAATTACAGTTATGAGCTACCACGCCCGGCTGATTTTTTGATTTATTGTAGAGATGAGGTCTCGCTGTCCAGGCGGGTCTCGAACCCGCGGGCTCAGGCAATCCACTCACCTCAGCCTCCCAAAGGCGTGGGATTACAGGCTGAGCCACCGAGCCCGGCTGGCAACTTCTTTTCAAATGGCCTTCCTGAGCAACACAAAAACCTACAGTTTTCCTCCCAAGATTTTTTGTTTGTGTGATTCCTTCAACTAACTGAGCCCACACACTATGTGCCAGAGACCGACTGGGCAGGACAAATACTTCTATAGATTAGACCCAATCTCTGCCCTCCATGTGCTCAGAAACTGAAAGACCCCTAAGACAAGCAGGGATCAAACCACAAACCACTTTGCATGACAAAGAGTTCAACATGAAGGGCAGAGGATGTCTTGGCATGGTTTTGAGCAGGGGAATGAGAGACTATTTAACAGAATGATTATCTGGATGCCCTGTGGGAATGGCAAAGAGGATGAGGCTGGAAACAAGAGGACCCAGTGCTAGCAGAATTAACTTCTCCCTAGCGGGGCTTTCAAGCGGCCTCAGGTAGTCAACCAACCTATTCCAAACGAGAGACACCCACCCAACAGACAGGCAAATATGGGAAAGAGACAGGCTCCAAATTCAGGGAGGGCAGAGTCCAGCACAGAAAAATTACAGTCAAATCATTCTGGAAGTAAATATACTGTTATCACTTTCAAAAGTTGGAATAGACTAAATTCAAATGTAGTCAAACCAAAAGGATTATTACTAGTCTTTGCACAATGCCTGAAGCTTTCCTCCTGAGGAGTTTCCAGTCCTGGGGATCCTATGCAAATGCACAGGCAGAAGGATTGGCACTCCCTTGGCCACCCACAAGAGTCACTCAATAAACATCTGGGATCTGGCCTTGCCTTTCCTATCCGGCTGACCCTGGACACTGTTCGAAAGTAGGGACTTGAAGGAATGACCCCTCAAAGCTCTTCCCACCTCCACAGTGAACTGGAAAGTTCATTTTCTTTGCTCTGTGCTCTAAGCCTTCAGGAGCCCAAAAAAGAGAAGTTAACCAAAACTTGAAGATGCATTTGTTCTCTGAACCTTAAAATAAAGAGTGATCATCTGGAAATTATATCCTCTGGGGCAAGCTCGATAATGTCGTCAAAAGGATCACAGAAAAAAAGAAAATTAAATTTAATAAACAGAAAAGTTTCCTTAGAGGAAAAGAGAGTGGGTGGGGAAAAAAAAGGAAATGCCAAACTCGAATACAAATCATGAAATTTAAACAGAACAAGAGGAAAAAGCAAGAAAACAAATGGAAGTCTATTATTCCATTTTTATTTAACGATAGTAAAGTCACCAAGTTTCCCAAAGTCAAAACTACTCCAAATGCATTTCTCTGATCAGATTATGATTAATACCAAAAAGTCAGCTGTCAAGAAAGGGAAATTCATTTTATGTTAAAGAGTCTTCACAAAGACTGAAATATTTTAATCAGAATCTAGGAAGATTGACTAACTCAGAAAATTAATGTTCACCGTAGACCCCTTATCATGATGTCAGTCAAAAAGTCAAATGCCTGCTATTCAATTTTTTTGAAGTTACATGTATTACAAGGACCACTGGTGTGCCTAGGGATTCCACTGTTTAAAGAGTACATTCTTCTGAAGCAAAGAACAAGAAATTGCAGTCCCCACATACCAGCATCCAGAGGAAATCGTTAACTATTCAGGAATGACATCACTACCCAGTGTTTATTCACCAGGATTTCAACTTGAACTGACCAGCAGCAAAAATAAAAAAGATATAAGAGCATTTCCCTTCAGATCAGAAAAGTGTCTGAGATGAGAGGTTTGATCCTTAACCTCGACTTAATTTCTCTGTTTCCTCTCGGCCATTGGCAATATGTACTGAGAGAAGATAAGAAAGTCCAACTGCCAGCTGCAAACACTGAAAACAAGCAGAAGGCGCCCATCACAACTGCTCGTTCTACTTAAGGACGAGGGCTGGCTTTGCAGAGTTATATTTGCTTCCAGCCACAGGCCACTAAAGCTGATTTTTATTTTCTGATAGGACCTTTTTAGGGTAAAAGGTGCAAATGGAATGGAATTCCAAGTAAGCGTGCATCAGATGGGGAAAGGAAGGCCGTGAACACAAGTATTTTAATAAGTTTGTGCTTCTCAGAAGTGTCTAGGCAGAGCGGGTCGTAGCTTGCCTGGGGCGCAGCAGCTCAGCCCTGCTTCACTCCTTGCAAAGCAGATTTCAAAGACGAGCTGGAAGCTCCATTTGTGGACTACTATGGGATGTCTACAATTTCCTCTCCCACTCCCTCCTCCCACTTGGAAGGGTTTAGCAAAACCCAGACTAAAAGCAATTTTGCTACTGAAATTACCCATTTTATTTAGCTTTTTTTATCCAGATGCTCTATGGGAACCACTCCCTCAAGCAGGAGATTGCGCCAACCACACAAAACCACAATCCTACAAAACTTCCATATCTGAGCAGTCTTAAAAAAAATTCAAGTTCATCACTGCTTCTCTTCTGTGCAAGAATAACTGCAGTACAAAATAAAAGACTGCTATCTCAAATTATTTGCAAAACACGAAATATGAAAACAAATTGCCTAAAAAAACCAAGGACATTGGAAAACCACTGTCACCACCAGTTTATTTATTGGATAATTATAACAATCGCTTTACTGGACGGCATTCCACATAACGGTGACAAATCTCTGTTCATACCCAAGAAAATAGTGATTACAGGCTTAAAAAAAAAGAAGAGATGATAAGAGTGGTTCTGCTGAGACCTGGTGCTAACAAATCTAAGTGAGGGCATTAAAATAATCTCAATTCACATCAAATACATTAAAACAATGATGTAAACCAAGATATCTTAAACATATTTTTGTCCAGCAGTCAATCATTGACAATCACAATTTACACACACTTGCAAAATGAGGAGCTAATGAGGTTTTTTTAAAGAGGTTAAAAATGGGAATTTCTGATATAAGCCTGACTTAATACAACATTATTTAAATTACAGATAGCTGTCCTATTCCCCTTACCTGAAACAGCAGCCATCTGCAAGAAAATCAACCAAGAAAATGAAGCATGACAGCATATGTTTTTTTGTAACAGGGTGATGTTTTACACAGCAGGCACTGAAAAAGTATGCCAATTGCCCAAAGAGATAAAAGACAGCAAAATGTATACGCACCTTCATATGTTTCTAAGATGTGCACAGTGTCACCTATTTGTAAAGAAAGTTCATCCGCTCCCCTGGCATCGTAGTTATAAAAAGCTGTGATGAAAAGGGAGGAAATACATTAGTGGAAGTAGAATGTACGGCGTTGGTTTTGCTTGTTTTAATAGTGAATACATCAATTCTTTGCCTGGCCCATCCTTTTAGATACTCACAATGGCTTTTTTTTTCAGATACAAACATAAAGGGCCCATAGTTTAAGAGAAAGTCATCACCATCCATAACACCAGATGATTATAAGTGGTTTACTTTCATTGTGATAAAATACATATGCAAAATCTGCCATTTTAACCATTTGTAAGTGCGCAATTTAGTGGCATTAATTGCACTCAAAATGTTATAGACATCACCCTGATTTCCAAAACTTTTTCAACACTCCAAACAAAATCCTCACACCCATTAAGCAGCTTCCCATTCCTTTCTCTCCCAATCCCTTGATAACCTGTAATCTACTTTCTGTCACTATGAATTTGACTCATCTAGGTATCTCATATAAGTGGTATCACACAGTCAGTATTTGTGCTTTCCAATCTGACTTCTGTCATTTAGCATAATGCCCTCAAGGTTGATCCATGCTATGCCACATGTCAGAACTTTATTTCTTTTTATGCCTGAATAACATTCCGCATAAGCAAATGTACAATAGGAAGAACACTGAGGAGATTAACAGCATTTTGGTTGTCACTTCACATACTATCTTTTATTTCCACTAACAGACTCTCCTTTTATTTTCCCAACTATGAACAAATTGCACGTGGATTGAATATTCTTTGGAATCCAAATTAACAAGAAATTATCATATAACGATTGTTGATATTAAGCTAAAAGGCAACATTATAATCACAGTAAACGATGGCCAATGTTAAGAAAAACAAATCTTTAAAATTGACAATGATGCCTAGGAAATATCTGAAATCCCTAATGTTTTTCCTGACACAACGCTGTTCCTATCTTGCGAAAGGGTCATCTGCCCCTTAGAGAAGTCTCCAAAAAGTCAAACCGTTAAATTCAAACCACACTTTTGTTCAAGCATTATGGAATAAAGGTAATGGTCACGGGTGCGTAAAGGATGCTACAAAGTGTTTAATGCCCCAAAAGTATTCAAGTAACCCATCCTCAATTTAAAAATACATATAAAGATATATATATATATATATATATATATATATATATATATATATATATATAAAATGTTCCTCCTACCAATGGCCTCCACCTAAAAGGATGCAACATTCAATGCAAAACTCATCTTCAAAATCCCCCACCAAATTTCTCACCCATCCATCCTGCAAAGCCCAGCCAGACTAGACTATGCTTAAGTGGCACCTTGATCGTGTCACAACTCTAAAATCCTCCTTAACCAGGTCACATGCCAAAGCATGGCAGGCCCTCTGCCACCTGGGCCATGTCAGCTCACTGCACCTTCCAACCCCATGCTCCCTTCCGCAGGCTCTTCTTCCCACTGAAAGAAAGACGCCAGCCCATCCCACACCTGTGGGTACCGACCTCTCCTGCCCAACCACCTGGGCATTCCCACTGGGTGCACCTAGTCAAAAAAGCCAGGGCCAGGCAAGTTTGCTCTTTCCAGCTTCGCGCCTTCCAACATCCCCTGCACCATATCCACTGGATTCCCTTTGTATTTTGCTCTGCATGAGGTAGTCTTAATTCAGATGTGTGTTAAGGTGTCCCCAATGAAAGGAAAAGCCACCAGAGAGCAGAGGTCGCATACCTTGCAGCGTTTCATGCCCCCAACTCTGAGAACAGGATGGTACTTAGGTGTACAAGGAATGGCAGATAAACCCAAGTTTCCTGAGTCTAGAATTTCAGGGTTCACACATACCGCCTCCATGGTGTTCATGTTTGTGGTCTCCACAGATAACTAAGATAAGCAAAACGACATCTCTACTCCCAAAGACCTAGGACCTTTCAGCAAATGATCTACCCTGTCTTCAGTTTTTCAGGCCAGGCGCAGTGGCTCATGCCGGTAATCCCAATACTTTGCAAGATGAGAAAGGAGGATCCCTTGAGGCCAGGAGTTTGAGACCAGCCTGGGCAATATAGGGAGATCCCATCTCTCTATATATATGTTTTTAAAATTAAAATAAATAAATAAACAAATGCAGTTTTTCTATCTGTAAAGTAAGGATATGGACACTTACCACATGGAATCGTGTGTCTTAGAAAAAATAATACCCTTGCTGTATTTGACACCCTGGGGCCACAGTGAACAGCTAATGGTGAAAGCCTTTACTGTGTATTTTTTTCATTGCTATGAAGACTTCTATTGCTATCAGAGTGTTTTCTAAAAAGCCAAAGCAAGTATGAATACTATCACATTTACAAAAATTCTACAATATCAAAAGTCAGACCTATGGAAAAAATGCTGTTTTTTCAGTTGTTTTCCCATATTTTCCCCAAAATTCATAAGATTTAAGTGTCCTCAATTGACGAAGATGATTATTAGTAGTTATTAAGATAAATTTAGGCTGGGCTCAGTGGCTCAGCCTGTCATCCCAACACTTTGGGAGGCCGAAGCAAATGGATTGCCTGAGCCCACGGGTTCGAGACCAGTCTGGGCAACTTGGTGAGACCTTGTCTTTACAATAAGTCAAAATTTAACCGGGCGTGTAGTGCGCCCCTGTAGTTCCAGCTACTTGGAAGGCTGAGGCGGGAGGATCGCCGGAGCCCAGCAGGTCGACGCTGGGGTGGCCGTGAGCGTGCCACTGCCCTCCAGCCAGGGCGATGGAGTGAGACTCCAACTCAAAAAAGTAAATAAAAAAGATAATTTAGCATTTTATAGTGAATCTTTAACAAGGAACAACTGCATCGGGTAAGGGAAGCCCAGAGTACATGTTGAACTTCCCCCAGTTCAGCCTAACTGTGTTCTTAGGTCTTTAGGAACCATAAATTCATTTATCATAGTTCTTAACAGCATCCCTGCCTGCATGTCTATTCTGCTGTAGATGTGGAAAAAATAAGCACGTCAAATAAAAATGAAATAAAATGAACATATTGATGCAAATGCATCTAGGCACATGTGAATTTGTAAAGTGCATACACACAACTGCTTGCTTAGTGCTTTACCTTTAAATACCCCACTCCCCAGTCCCTAAAGTAGAAGTGGAACACAGTGGCGGAAATCTCATACCTGAATAGAGACACTTCCATTGTTACTATGAAATGAGTCAAAAGGCCCATGATTTTACAAAGGGGAAAAGAACCACAGGGGTTATTATACACAAAAGCCCAAATCACAAAACAGTCAAGACCACAAACCTAGCTGCCCAGCTCTTGGTTCGTTTTAGGATTCAAGATTAAATAATCCCATATATAAAGACAAAAGACTCAACCAAAAACGAAGTGACTATATCTGACAAGGAGGGAGCAGGTAGGGCAGACAGAAAAAAGGCGCTCCAAAGTCATCCACATCCAAATTCCCCAAGTCTGTGAGTATGTCACTTACATGGCCAAAGGGGACAACACTGCAAGTATGATTAAGTTCTGGATCTTGAGATGGGAGTTAATCCTGGATTATCCAGGTGAGCCCAGTGTAATCATAAAGTTCCTTAGGAGCGGCAAAGTCATGAGAGAAAGTCGAAGTGAAACACACAGGGGCCAAAACAAATCAAGGAATGCAGCTCTAGACATGGAAAAGATAAAAAGACACGGATTCTTCCCTGTAGCCTCCGGCTGGGAACACAGCTCTGCTGACCCCTTGATTTTTAAGACTTCAGACAGCCAGAACTGGAAGGTAAGTGGGTGTTGTTTTTGAGCCCCTACTTTTGTGGTCATTTGTTAGAGCCGCAAGAGGAAACTAGTACAAGCAGGTATGTGAACAATAATTTAAAAGCGCTATTACTGCAGCACTACTCACAATAGCAAAAACATGGAACCAACCCGTGCTGCCCATCGAAAGTGAACTGGATTTTTAAAATGTGGTACATAGACACGATGGAATAGTATGCAGCCACACAGAAGGACAAAATTATGGACTTTGCAGCGACTTGGATGGATTTAGAGTCTATCACACTCAAGGATCTATCACAGAAACAAAGAACTGAGTATCGCATGTTCTTACTCGTAAGTGGATCTTGAACATTTATCATAATATTATAAGAAAGGGGTTGGCGGTGGCAGGGCACAGCCAGCAGACAGCGGGGGGGGACACATGACATCAATAAGCGTACCTCATCCCAAACCAAGTAAAGTGAGAATCAATAGGAGGTCCAAACATCACCTATATAAGTAGCACAATGACTACTTATATACCTAATCCTGAATTGTACCCTGCATCTTTACAATAACACATACAGACAACAGAAGCACTATTATGTGGTTAATTTACCCACTCCTGAACCCAGACAAGTTCCAGGCTGTGGTTCCCAATTCTTGAACGACATGAGAAAAACAAGGGCAGCGAAGGGAATTTAAAAAAATAAACCCCAAAATGTGTAATGTAAAGGATTCTTCCTCTTGTTCTGATTGTTTGACCTTTCAAAGTTGCTCCTTTGCTGGGGGTGGAGGAAGAGGGAGGGGCATGGATTTCTTGTCTCCTTTAGGAAGGAAGAGGATGGCAAATGGCTTCTGGATTTTAAACGTCTTCACTTGACAAAGATGGCGACCTTTTCGAGGGTGGCTCAGTTTTTCTTCTTTGTTTTCCTGTCCTGTTAGGGTCTGGGAAGAACTCCTTGGTCACTGTGTCTCATTCATACACCTTGGAAGTGCAGCATCAGCTTGGGGGGATTTGGGGGAGGGGATGCCGTATGTATGCTTTAGGTATTCCTCTTCCTCAAGTCCGTCTTCCCTGTATAATAGCCTGCTTACAGATGAGCATCACTAGGGATAAATGAATATCCACATAAATTTCTCCGTTCTCGACTACAGAGTCCAGCGTAGAAGCTTGACATGTTGCTTACCAAGCACCAAGTTCTTCCCCTGGATGGTGTTTTTTTTTTTTTTCACAGCAGCAGTCCAGAATGGGTAAGCATGTGGATCTTTTACCCAAAATAAAACATTTACATTCTTGTCTGTGCC